TTCAGAAACTTTGTCCAGTGCTCAGAGAAAACAAGATGCCAAATTTCATTAAGAGACATGATATATCTGAAAACAGTGAAAAATTATTACCCTGACTCTCTAGCACATACTGAGTTTGTACAACTTTACAAACATACATCTCAAGTGCTTGGCCATAGGTACTTACCCCAAAAGCTGGAACTTCTTCACTCTTTATTTCATTTATTCGAACCAAATAGTTAACAAAGTCTCTGGCAGCATTGCTCTGTGCATCTTTTTTATTGGTGGAATTTCCCATGCCAGTGTAATTATACCCTTCCACCTGAACCTTTAAACAAACAAACAAAAAAATAGTAGTAAGAGACTGACCTGGGTAATTCTGATATTTTAACAATCTATAATTTAGTAGTCTATTAAGAAACAACAAACAGCTAACTTTAGGAAATAAACTCTCTATACTGAAATTAAGACACCCGAAAGAATTCATGAGCTACTGAAATAAAACGCTTGAGTTGTGTTATCTAGTGATAAGCTAATCCAAAAATAATGTAAGTGGTTCAGATATTTTCTTCTCATCTAACAGAAGGTTCACATTAATATCTGATTTTGTAATATCCATGAACAAGCTTTGCATTTATATTTAAGCATTTTGCTTTGAAGCAATCAAGAATTGCTCTGCTTTTTAAAAGTGTTTGTAAAACTGTAAACAGTTGATCCAACTTTTCAGATCCCCACTACTGGTACTGAGGAAGCTGGGAGACAGGGCTCTAATTAAGAGTAATTTACCTGTCAGATTGTTTTATATATGTAATGCTGACTTGAAAATGATTTAGAATACCAGTCAAGTCACAATAAACAACTGTTGTTTCCAAATGTGCACACATTAACATCTCCAAACAGAAAACATTTTACTTTTAACCCCAAAACGAACCCCATGAATCACATAAATGTAAACTGTATTCTTCAGTACCTCACACATGAATTTCTGCCTGTTTTTGTTCCCCACTGCTCTAATTTCATAGGATGGGGTCATCTTCCTTTTGCCACACCAGGCATACAGGAAATTTTTAACATCACCCATGATTCAAGTGTCTTCTTCAGACCTGAGAAAACAAAAATCAGTTAAAAACAGCATTTATAACAGCAAAAATTGAAGAACCAATTATCTGGATTACTGAATCCAGGTTAAACACAGGATATTCTATCATGTTGCTATTAAGACTGCCTATAAAGAAATTTTAATGACATTAATTGGAATGTTCGTATGTTTTAAAAAAGATACAAAACGGTATTATTTGAACTACATGAAAAGTATATATACATGATCAAGACTGGAAAGAATAGCCCCTAAAATGGTTATTGTTGGGGACTATGAGTGATTTTTATTTTTTCTTACAAAGTATTGTACATAAGGCCCTACATTCTACAACGGGCAGCTTATGTATTTAACTCACTTCACCCTAACAACAATGGCAAGCAGATACCGTGGATATTATCAGTCTTTTCAGAGAGGAAGAAACTAAGACTTAGAAAATCAAGTAACTTCCAAGTCAACCACAGTGGAGGCCTAAATTCAAATCCAAACTACCATATTAAGAATCAGGTATAATTTGTGTATAAATTCAATAGTTTCTCACTCTTATGACCACTAGGACACTGTCCTCAAAATTGTAGGCTGCATATATTAGTAAGTTGAAATAAAGGGAAGGGGCAGGGTCAGTTAAAAAAAAGTTCAAATACATTAAACACTCAGTACTGAAGACAGTAACCTATTAAATATTGTATACCAAATGTCTCCTTTAAACCTTATTATTCATTAAAATTTGAGGATATTAAAGGTTTTCTTAAAGTGCAATCATCAGTCTTGGCACTCCTCTACCTCAGTCTAAATAACACAAAATATGAAATCCATGAGTCTAAATGCAGAGTCTGAACTATAAGCAAGGTATCTGAGACCACATTTACAACCAGAGTAAATAAAATATGCTATGAATTTAGTTTGCTGTGAAACGAAACTCCATTACCAGCATTAAACCGTCTGCTTCATTTTGTTAGCACCTAAATTTAATCTCATCAAACTGCACCCGAGCACAAGTTATGTTTATTTAGTGGCCACAGTTTAACTCTGGTCAGCCATTTGGCCAAGGCAATGTCCTATTAACAAAAAGAGCCATGGAAAGCTGAAGATGTCTATGTGAAAATTCTATCTCATGAATAATTAAACAAGCCCTCATGGTGAATGAATAATATGAAGAACTATACTATCAAAGTCCTGTCTCCCTAGTCTCGTAAAACCCCATAATGTCCAATACCAACTACATGCTATTGATGACCAAAAATATATAGAAAGTTAGGTCAGGCTGGGTGGCTCACGCCTGTAATCCCAGCTCTGTGGGAGGCCGAGGCGGGCGGATCACCTGAGGTCAGAAGCTCAAGACCAGCCTGACCGAAATGGAGAAACCTCGTCTTTACTAAAAACACAAAATTATCTGGGCGAAGTGACACGTGCCTGTAATCCCAGCTACTCGGGATGCTGAGGCAGGAGAATCGCTTGAACCTGGGAGGCCATGGCTGCAGTGAGCCGAGATCGCACCACTGCATTCCAGCCCGGGCAACAAGGGCAAACCTCCGTCTCAAAAAAAAAAAAAAGTTTTCAGTCTTTTTTTTTTTTTTTTTTTTTGAGACGGAGTCCTGTTCTGTCACCCAGGCTGGAGTGCAGTGTCGTAATTTGGTCTCACTGCAACTTCTGCCTCCTGGGTTCAAGCGATTCTCCTGCCACAGCCTCGAGAGAGTAGCTGAGATTACAGGCACCCACCATCATGCCCAGCTAATTCTTTTGTATTTTTAGTAGACTGGGTTTCACCATCTTGGCCAGGATGGTCACGATTTCCTGACCTCGTGATCCGCCCGCCTCGGCCTCCCACAGCGCTGGGATTACAGGCGTGAGCCACCGCGCCCGGCCAGTCTTTTCTCTTAAAGGTCCAAAATCAAGTTCATCCATCTGTGGCACGAACTCACCCATTTGCCAGGCTAACTTGGCATCTCAGTCAAAACCGAATTTTAAATTTCCCCGCAAACCTGTTTCAACACCCTACCACATTTTGGTCTCCAAAAACGCTACAATATCCACAAAGTTCCTCCTGGCACAAATAGAGAGTGGTCTACTCCCTCAACATTCTCCATAGCTATCCCTTGCAGAACTCTTAGCGTGTGCCAGACAACATCCACAGCAGATCATCTAAATGGAACGATTTTACCTAATCCTTAGTCATCTAGTAAAGGTAAGATTACTATCCCTTTAGCGAAGGGAAAACTGAGGCAGAGTTCTTGCCCCAGGAAGACAGAGCTCCTAATCAGAAGGGCAGGGATTCCGGAAAACGCAGCCTGACTCCAAACGTACTACGCAACTCCGCTTCAAAATATGTCCCCTATCCATTCGTTTCTCCGCATCTCTCCTGCCACCACTACTGTGCACCCGGGACTATCGCAGTAATGTCCTCCAGGGTTGCTTACCACTCTAGCCATCCCAAAACCCATTCTCTGAAGTCCTCACCACACTCCAGTCACATGGCCTGCTTTCAGCTCCCGCCCAGTCTCTGCCCTTAAGCGATACCTAATCCCTTCCGCTTCTGCAGGCTCTGCTTTTCCGCCGCATCCGCCGAGCAATCGGCTCAAAGCCTCCCTCCTCCGAGACGCCTCACCTCGCTATACTGGCCAAAGTAGCTCTCGCTTTTCATTTTTAACATTTCTATCTTTTGGTCTATCCACAAGGCCTGCACTACGGCGCCAGTTTTTTCTGGCTTGAATGACTAAAGGGCCCTATGCGAGTGGCGCCCCGGCCGCAACCGCCTCAGGCGACGCACCCTTTCCCTCAGCCGCCGCAGCGCCCCGGCATACGCAGGCCGGAGGAGGAAGCAGGCTTTGGCTGCTAGAGGCAGCAGCGGGAAACGCTGGGCTGAGGGCGGCCGGGGGTGGGGGGGGGGAGGGGGAGAGGCGGCCCGGACAGCGCAGGCGCAGCGCGGCGAGGCGCGCACGCAACCCGCAATCCGGGGACCCGCGGGCGGCTCTTCCCTTCCCCCACCATCTGCCGCTGCCACCGCCCGCGCTTCGCAACAAAGCCGGCTGCAGAGCCCCGGTCCACGCCGCCCTCCAGCGACCCCGCCGCCCCACACGGTGCCCAAGATGTCTCTACCTTACCAGCCTCCGTTTCCTAGCGCTCAGCTGTTAAAACCGTGCGTGGCTCTGGCCTTCCACGGAGAGAACAGAGAAACGCACACCAACTTGCATGGAGGAATCGGCGAAATGGCTCCGACCGCGGAGCGAGGGGGCGGAGCCAGGGAGTGTACGCATGCGCAGAAAGCGCGCCTCGATGGGGGATGGTGAGGGCGCGCCAATGGAGGGGGCGGAGCTCAGCCACCTCGCGGCGCGGAAGGGTTTCGTTGCCAGGGAGATGCGCTGCGCCGGGCGGGCCGCGAGCCAGGCCTGCTACCCTGGATCATCCGCCGCCCGTTTTTGCGCCTGATAGGGTGTTGAGGGCCTGTAGCATTCTGATGCGGCAAAATGTTTCGCAGGATCTGTCATAGGGATCTCTGGTGAGAGGAGGTGCCCTTCGAAGGCCGAACTGGAAATCTTACTGCTAACTTGGTAGGGTTGAGATAAGTACATGAGATGGCATATGAAGGGGCCTTAGTTCAGTACGTGGCACGTGGTAGGTGTTCAGTAGGCGTGGTTACTGGAGTGACTCAGACAGTCTGAACGCCAACGTCTCTTGAAAGAAATAAAATGGCCGGGCGCGGTGGCTCACGCCTGTAATCCCAGCACTTTGGGAGGCCGAGGCGGGTGGATCACTTAAGGTGTGGAATTGGAGACCAGCCTGGCCAACGTGGTGAAACCCCGTCTCTACTAAAAGAATACAAAAATTAGCCGGGCGTGGGGGCGGGCGCCTGCAATCCCAGCTACCCCGGAGGCTGAGGCTAGACAATCACTTGAAGTGGGGGAGGGGCAGAGGTTGCAGTGGGCTGAGATTGTGCCATTGCACTGCACCCTGGGTGGGAGAGTGAGAATGTCTCAAAAACAAACAGCCAGCCATGAAAGAAAAAGCTCAGTGAAGGCGGGCATTCCACCTGATTAACGCAGGTCACGACGCCTTGCCGTGCCTGGAACATTGTAAGTGCTCAGCCAACTAGTTTAAGGTAGGAATAAAATCTTCAAGGTTGCTTTAGTTTAAATTGGGTAACCTTCTGTGTTCCACGTCTTTGCAATAATTTGTATCCTTAATTATTATACTAGTCACTGTTAAATTTTGAACTCCAGTCTTCTATGCATCTTTATTTTCCACCTCTATGCTTTTCTTAAATCTTCCAGCTCATATTGACCACTCCATTTAAAACTGTCATCCTTAAAATCAGAACATAGCTTAGCATTTACTCATTCTTTTTTACTTTCTTCATGTGTTTGTTCTATTTAAGAATAAAATCATTGAAGGAAAGACCTTAATTTTTTAATATAATCATTGAGGAAATATCTGGTTTTTTTTGTACCCTTCACGGTGTTGAAAGCAGGGGCCTAGGAGACTTTAAACTGATACCACAGAAATACAAAGGATCATTAGAGGCTATTATGAACAACTACATGCAAACACACTGGCAACTAAATGGAAATGACTAAATTCCTGAACAGATACAACTTACCAAAATTGAACCAAGAAGAAACAGAAAACCTGAAAAGTCCAACTGAGTAATGAGATTGAATCAGTAATATAAAGTCTTCCATCAAAGAAAAGCCCAGGCCCTGACAGCTTCACTGCTGATTTCTACCAAACATTTAAAGAAGAACTAATATCAGTTCTCAAACTCGTCCTGTGAGGCCAGCATTACCCTGATACCCAAACTGGATATGGACACAAGAAAAAAAATCTATAGGCCAGTATCCCTGATGAACATAGATGCAAGAATCCTCGACAAGGCCAGGCACGGTGGCTCATGCCTGTAATCCCAGCACTTTGGTAGGCCAAGGCAAGCAGATCACCTGACGTCAGGAGTTTGAGACCAGCCTGGCCAACATGGCAAAACCCCATCTGTACTCAAAGTACAAAATTAGCCAGGAAAGGTGGCGGGTGCCTGTAATCCCAGCTACTCAGGAGGCTGAGGCAGAATTGTTTGAACCTGGCAGGATGGAAGTGGCAGTGAGCACAGATGTCCGACTGCACTCCAGCCTGGGTGACAGAGACTCCATCTCAAAAAAAAAAGGGGGGAGACTCAACTAGCATAAATGAATTGCAAGTGTTTTATCATAAATAATAAGCACAACAAAAGTGTCAATATATTATATGTAAACATGTTTAAAGCTGGATCTTTAGCTTCCAAGGATTAAGGGATTATTATTGAATTCATTCTTTTTTTGTTGTTGTTGGTAGAGAGATCCAAGATGGCCAAATAGGAACAGGTAAATTGGTTCTTAATTTAGGCTTTGTATCTGAGATCTAGAGTCCCTGGGATTTGGGTCCCGGGACTGGCATTACCTTTGTAGGTGGCCCTTGACAACTAGCACTCTCTAAGAACTTAACATTTGCAGGTGAAACCTTAAAACATGTTCCAGAAGTTTGGAAAGTGGACGGATTTCAACACAAGCATTACCTGTTCCCAGTAGCTGACCAACTAGGAGATTTCAGAGGTTAGTCAAGTGGGACAGAGCAGGGTAGGGAATTTTATTTTTAAGCTTTATTATAAAACAGGTAACTTTCTATCTTAAGTATTTGGAACTGGGGCTATAGTTCACTCATAATGATCAAATAATGAAAGGTCTACTTCAAATGGACTACTTAACATTGAACATTTACCTTTTTGACTAGAAATAACTGATGAAAGTTCACTTAGTTTGGTGGGAAATAAGAGATATAAAGATATCTTCTCCTCAGGATGAGACTCCCAAAGGCAGATGTTCTCTGAGTACCAGTGTTGCTGAAATTTAGGACCTTTGCAGTTCCTTTGAGCATCGTTCTGCTCTCCTATTTCTAATGACTCCATCTAGACTCCTACTCAACTTCTCTTCCTGTGTGCATTCCAGTTGCAAGTCACGCCCACCTTCTTAGCACTCTGTATACCCTCTACCTGGACGGTTTTACTCTTCCCATATTCCAGCCACCAACCATATGCTGAGATGGACTGAATATTTTTATCTCCCCCAAATTCATATGCTGAAGTCCTAATCTCTAATGTGATGGTATTTGGAGATGGGGCTTTTAGGATATAATTGTGTTTAGATGAGGTCATGAGAGTAGAGCCCTCATGATGGGATTAATGCCCTTATAAGAAGAGGGTAAGACCAGAGCCTTCTCCTCTGACGAAATTACCCACAGAAACCTTCACATATTGGCTGGGCGTGGTGGCTCATCCCTGTAATCCCAGTGCTTTGGGAGGCCAAGGTGGGCAGATCACCTGAGGATAGGAGTTTGAGACCAGCCTGGTGGGTGTCTGTAATTCCAGCTACTTGGGTGGCTGAGGCAGGAGAATCACTTGAACCTGGGAGGTGGAGGTTACAGTGAACCCAGATATCATCACTGTGCTCCTCCAGCCTGGAGGACAGAGCAAGACTCCATCTCAAAAAAAAAAAAAAAAAAAGGACACTCAACTAGCATAAATGAATTGCAAGTGTTTTATAGTATACAATGAGCACAACACAAGTGTCAATATATATAAATATATGTTTCAAAGCTGGAACTTTAGCTTCTAAGGATTAAGGAGAATTTTATTAAGTTGTGTAGGAAGTAGAAAAGTTCCTTTTTAAAGTTTCCTTTCTTGTTAAAAATAAGTGTGCTAATAACTTTGTTAAGCCCTATCCTATGTAGCTGTTAGACAGGCCAAGGTTACTTTAACCAAGATATCTGTGCTGGACATGCTCACAGGCATGTCCCAGCTCTCCATTGCTTTTACTTGTTAGAAAAGTTTTAAGTTGGTAGCCAATCGGGCTTTAGCTTAAATTATGAAGTCTGGCTCCAGCCAATGGAGATTAGACATAGCAGTAAAGACGACCCCAAAAGCTTAAGGGATACATTTGTCCATTTTCCTTTGTTCATTGCACTCTCATGGCATGATGGCTAGCAAGGGTACCTTGCCTGTGGTCCAGGAAGTAAAAATTGCATTGCTGAAAGATCCTTTGTTTCAGTGCTAATTCTCTTTGTGGCACCAAGCATCTATTTCCAACAAGGTGGTTCTTAATTTAAGCTTTGTTCCTGAGACCTAGAGCCCCCTGGGATTTGGGTCCCAAGACTGGCATTACCTTTGTAGGTGGCCCTTGGCAACGAGCTCTCTCTAGGATCTTTTTTTTGAGACCGAGTCTCTGTCACCCAGGCTGGAGTGCAATGGCATGGTCTTGGCACACTGTAGCCTCCGCCTCCTGGGTTCAAGCGATTCTCCTGCCTTGGCCTCCCAAGTAGCTGGGATTACAGGCACCCGCCACTACGACTGGCTAATTTTTGTATTTTTAGTAGAGACAGTGTTTTACCATGTTGGCAAGACTGGTCTCAAACTCCTGACCTTGTGATCTGCCTACCTCAACCTCCCGACCTTGTGATCTGCCTACCTCAACCTCCCAAAGTGCTGGTATTACAGGCCTGAGCCACCGTGCCCAACCCTCTAAGATCTTAACATTTGCCGAAGAAACCTCACAACATGTTCCAAAAGTATGGGAAGTGGACAGATTTCAGCACAACCATTACCTGTTCCCAGTAGCTGACCAACTAGGAGATTTCAGAGGTTAGTCAAGTGGGACAGAGCAGGGTAGGGAATTTTATTTTTAAGCTTTATTATAAAACATGTAACTTTCTATCTTAAGAATTTGGAACTGGGGCTATAGTTCACTCATAATGATCAAATAATGAAAGGTCTACTTCAAATGGACTACTTAACATTGAACATTTACCTTTTTGACTAGAAATAACTGATGAAAGTTCACTTAGTTTGGTGGGAAATAAGAGATATAAAGATATCTTCTCCTCAGGATGAGACTCCCAAAGGCAGATGTTCTCTGAGTACCAGTGTTGCTGAAATTTAGGACCTTTGCAGTTCCTTTGAGCATCGTTCTGCTCTCCTATTTCTGATGACTCCATCTAGACTCCTACTCAACTTCACTTCCTCTGTGTGCATTCCAGTTGCAAGTCACGCCCACCTTCTTAGCACTCTGTATATCCTCTACCTGGACAGTTTTACTCTTCCCATATTCCAGCCACCAACCATATGCTGAGATGGACTGAATATTTTTATCTCCCCCAAATTCATATGCTGAAGTCCTAATCTCTAATGTGATGGTATTTGGAGATGGGGCTTTTAGGATATAATTGGGTTTAGATGAGGTCATGAGAGTAGAGCCCCCAAGATGGGATTAGTGCCCTTGTAAGAAGAGGATAAGACCAGAGCCTTCTCTCCTCTGACATAATTACCCACATAAACCTTCACATATTGGCTGGGCGTGGTGACTCATCCCTGTAATCCCAGCACTTTGGGAGGCCGAGACAGGTGGATCACTTGACATCAGGAGTTTGAGACCAGCCTGGCTCCCACAGTGAAACCCTGTGTCTACTAAAAATACAAAAAAATTAGCCAGGTGTGGTGGTGTGTGCCTGAAATCTCAGCTACTCAGGAGGCTGAGGCAGGAGAATCACTTGAACCTGGGAGTTGGAGGCTGCAGTGAGCCCAGATCCCACCACTGCACTCCAGCCTGGGAGACAGAGCAAGACTCCATCTCAAAAACAACAACAACATAAAAAACCTTCACTTATTGAAGAGCTGATTGATCTTTTAAGGAAGACATCTCCAACCCCTGGGCTGGAGACTAGAATGGGTCCATGGCCTGTCAGGAACTGGGCGCAAAGCAGGAAGTGAGCAAAGGGCGAGCGAGCATTACCACCTCAGCTCCACTTCCTGTCACATCAGCAGCAGCATTAGAGTCTTATAGGAGTGTGAACTTTATTGTGAATTGCAAATGTGAGGGATCTAGGTTGCACGCTCATTATGAGAATCTAATGCCTGATGATTTGAGGTGGAATGGTTTCATCTTGACATCATCCCTCCTATCCCCTGGTCTGTGGAAAAACTGTCTTCCACGAAACCTATCCCTGGTGCCAAACAGGTTGGGGACCACTCGTTTAAAGGACTGATGACTCTTTTAATGCAATGAGTGACACAGATGAAGTATATAATCTGCATTCTAGCAGAAATGGTAGTCTAGATTTTGAGAATGAAGAATTTGATATCTTTAAAATTATTTTCTTGTCACACAGTTATGGTCATTCAAAAGCCAATTTCTATTAGATTTCTTTTTTATTGCTTGTTATACATATGTATAAGTGAATATGCCTTTTTTAAAAGCAATCATAACATTGGAAGTCCTTTTTCTATCTCCTTTGCACTGGTTTTTCTTGAACCATTTGTTAATCTACAAATTCTATGGCTACATAGAAATCTATTCACATTCACAGGATTTTGCAACTTGCTTTGTTCCACTTTTACTGCTATATTTGCTTTATCTGTATTGATTCTATAGGAATTAGTTTATTTTACAGTTTGGCTTGCTTCTTTGTTATGTAGTGTTGAAATGCCATATTCACATTTGCTTTTATGGTTCCCATATTAAGGTTCAGGGATTTACCCATGCATTTGTATAGTTGAGCATTTTTGTTGCTTCTTTATACAAGCTTTAACTGAGACTAATACATGTATTTTTCTTTTCTTTTTGTAGAGACAGGGTCTTGCTTTGTTGCCCAGGCTAATCTCAAACTCCTGGTCTCAACTGATTCTCCCACCTCAGCTTCCAAAAGTGCTGGGATTACAGGCATGAGCCACCATGGGAACACCACATTTCTATAAGGTTATGGGGTTTTACTTTGTCCAGTGTTAATTAGTTTCACATATCTAGAATCTCTAATTTTCTATTGGATACTAATATAGAACTATTGTACTTATTTACATGAACAAATTAATGTTTTCCCCTGCAAACTACTTTAGGAAGATTTTCAATAAAGGTAAATGGGATATAATCATCTACTAAGGGAAAATGACTCAGAGTGGAACATATACCAAAATATAAATCTGCTGTATTTAAAAGAGGAATTGAAAGCAAAAGATTCCAAAAGCTTGAAAAAAATGGAGATGCCCTAAATAAACTTACCATTGAAAAATAACAGAAAATGTTGAATACAATAAAAAAAGTGCATTGCTATGCTGGCAAGAAAGAAAATGCTTTAGAGGTAAACATAAATGAAGTGAATGAATGAATCCAGAGAGGCAAGAGAACCCTGGCATAAGTGCCTACCTTGAAAGGGTCTGCTGATTCTTAAGGAACTTGAGCTTCCTTTTAATAAAAGCTGCATTGGGGCTTAGGAGAAAGGAGACAAAGAGATTGCCCAACATGCAGAGGCTGAGAGCAGACCTACACATAAGCCAGAATGCCTTATATCTTCAGGGAAAAGTCAACAATAGCAACAATGAAAAACCAAACCAATCAGAAGAGGGGTATAATAAGGAAAACCGTCCATGAAAAACTAGAAGCTAGGTAGAAAAAAAGACTCACTTCCTGTGATATCCATGAAAACCTCAAGCCAATTATTTAAAGTGGTTACTAGTCAGCAGAGATAAATCCCTTAGAAGAATTAAAATTGTATTTTCTTTGGTGGAAATGTTCTATCCAGACCTCAAATAATTCCTATAAAATTTCACTGAACATAAGCTCAAGTTAAAAAAATCATAAAACAGGTGATGATCTTAAGTACCTCTGATGAGTGGCAGGGTATAGTGGCTCACGTGGGTGATCCCAACACTTTGGGAGGCTGAGGTGTGGGGATTACTTGAAGCCAGGAGTTCAAAACCGGCCTGGCCAATGCAGTGAGACCCTGTCTCCGTTTTTAAAATACAAAGTCCAGTGAGTTGAGTGCCAGCAGAAAAAGAAAACTGACAGCAGAATTATATCTATAAATGGTCTAGGTACTAGAATTATCTGCTACTAAATAGAAATACACCTATTCCTTGTTATTTAATTCACTCCTAAAAACCCTACCGCTAAGTGAAAAGCCACTAAATGAAAAAATATTTTAACTAGAAAATCATGATGCATTCTGTGTAAACCCAAGAAAACTAAATACTTTCAGCCAAAGCATATCAATTTTTCCACAGACAAGGTTATATAAATAATTTGAAATAATAAATAAATTTACAAACTATAATGTAATGAAGACATTGTAAACTTTCTTGCTTCTGTACTAATTTTTCAGTCTTTGGGGGAGCCGATAGTTATTTTACATTCTAAATTTATAGCACTTAAAGTTACAGCACAGAAAACACTGTGAGTTTAATGTTCCTATGACTTACAACATCTTACAGGAGCTGGCTCCTTTGCAGTCCCTTTAAATTCATCATTTCCTACTCTTTCTCCTTGATGCCTGAACTCTGATTCATTGGCTTCTGTTCAGTTCTTCACATTCCCAACTCTTCCATGGCTCCAAACTGCCAAATCTGTGGGTCCTACCACCTTGAATGCACCCTCTGCTATTCTTCACCTGACTGGTTTCTTTCCAACATTCTAATTTCAGACTAAGTCTAATGGATTCAGAGAAGTCCTCTCTTACTATTTTGTGGGAATTGGTCCCTCTTCTGCACCTCCATCCCCCAGCACTTGCCTCTGGCCATATTGAAGGATCTTGAAAGATATACAGATAGGTACATACAGATAGGTATACAGGCAAGTGAAAGAACAAAAGGCAGAATATACTTAGTGTTTTAATGGAATGATTCTAGAGGTCTGCTTAAATTGGAAAGTCAAAGCTGATTGAGGTTATTACCTTAGGAAAAGGACACTAATTGGTCAATGTTCAGGGGAGTTCAGATAGTAACCACAGCCTGAAAAGCATCTAGGCCTGTGTTATGTATGGTTTGGCTTTGTCCCCACCCAAATCTCATCTTGCAGTTTCCATAATCCCCATGTGCATGAGAGGGATGTGATGGGAGATAATTGAATCGTGAGGGTGGTTACTTCCATGCTGCTGTTTTCGTGATAGTGAGTTCTCATAAGATCTGATGGTTTAGTAAGGGGCTTTCCTCGCTTTCGCTCAGCACTTCTTGCTGCCGCCATGTGAAGAAGGACGTGTTTGCTTCCCCTTCTGCTATGATTGTAAGTTTCCTGAGGCCTCCCCAGTCATGCAGAACTGTAAATTTCTTTCCTTTATAAATTGCCCAGTCTCAGGTATGTCTTTATTAGCAGCATGAGAATGAACTAATATAGCCTGTGAACATTATTTGCCACTCTCACTTACAGATACTTTAAATATGCCCACTAGTTCAAGCTCTAAGGGTGGATCACTTTGTTTCACCCCAGTGTGAGGATTCTCAAGAATGTAGTATGTGGTAATTATTCCATCTCCTTCCACTTGAGGTAGCATAACCATAAAATGGTACAAACTGGACTTGTAGACCGTACTGAGATGCTGATGCACTTGCCCGCTTGTGAAAACCCACTTCCCCATGACCTCAAAGATAACTTTGTTATGTGTGCTTGCTGATGGAAGAGAAGGTTTGCCTCTCACACCAAAGGCTGGCATTTGCAGCAGTTTCTGTGCCTACAGGGCCTAACCCCATATCTGGCTCAAACTTGGGACCCTGATTTTCATGAAGGGCATTCTAGCTGCTGTGTAGAAAATATATTGGAGGTGAACATGTGATTGCTGTACAATCTCCTTAGGTGGTCCCTGTGGAATAGAACTTGAATGCTCTCTGTAACTGGTCTACAGATACAGGTAACACATCCTGCTGGATATAGTTCTTTATGTATTTTGTTGAATCCATTCCATTATGTTTATTGTGTGATTAAGACTTAAGAAAATGCTTTAAGGTTTTTCTTCTGGTTGTATAACTTAAAATGCTAAAATGTTTTATGTATCAAATAATTTCCTAAGGGTCACCAAGGGGTTCACAGAGAAACCACAATTTGGGTCAGTTATTTTGTTCACCCAGGTAGCCATTTATCAGTTCCAGAAACCCAAAGTGTGAGGTAGTGCTCTGCCTCTACCTGGGACTTACCTCTGCTATTTGCATAATTTTGGTTCCAAGTTTCCCTCTTACTTTCACTGGAGGAAATTGAGGGTTGAGTCAGCATGTGATAAGGGAGTGCTTAAATGGTTTGGATGTGTTGTTTCCTCTACTTGATTTGATGGGTTTGTAGATCCCACTCCATTTCCCCCTGTGTGAAAAGCCTTAGTGAGCCCAGGTGGGTACCTGAGCCTGGGTTGCAGTCACTCTGCAAAGTCCCTCAACCCAGACTTCTCTTAGATTTTAGCCTCCTAAGAGTTTGGATTTTCTATGGCCTTCAGGTGATCACAAAGAAGAACTTTCTCTCAAGTTGTGGCAAATAGCCTTTCTAGGAAAGAATATATATTGCTCCCACTGCTGCCCAACCCCAACTCCACCTCATCCCCATGGCATTTTCCTGTATCTCTGAATAAACCCATGAGAGATCCTAAGTAAAACCAATCCTAAAATCACTCCTGTCCCGTCAACCATCCCAATGGACTGATCTCAGATTTCTATCTTGAAACAAAGAGGTTAGAAATCAGCTTTTAGTACTGTGTTGAATGAAATATTTCACGCCATTACTTTAGTTTTAATGTTAAAAACAATTTAAGAATAGATTATAACAAAACAATAAGTTCATAGTATTCCAAAGTTTTACTTGTTAAATGCAGTATTAATAGCCTACTGCTGTATAATATTCATTTCTAAGCTACTAGATATCAACAGAGCTAAACTCAGACCTGGTCATTTTAAAAGCATATTTCTCTTTATGTTCACAAAAGCTCATTAATCATCTTAAAAATCCAAGCATTGACTTCACAAAAACAAAAATAGAAAGACAGTTCTTTGTTTATTGGATATCCAAGAATTAAAAAAATTAAATTTGGCTTTAGTATCATTAAGTAAGGATATCACATCCTCAGAACCAAAAACTAACAAGAAACTCATTTTCTTCTTCTTAACAGCTACAAAGGTAAAAAAGAGGGTCAAGGATATATAAATACAACAACTTTTAATTAAAGAGAGGATTAACAAAGATAATTGAAGTCCACTTATAATTTCAAATTTGCTTTTTGAAAAAGTTTTATTTTTTATTTTTTTGAGATGGAATTTCACTCTTGTTACCCAGGCTGGAGTGCAATGGCGCGATCTCGGCTCACCGCAACCTCCGCCTCCTAGGTTCAGACAATTCTCCCGCCTCAGCCTCCTGAGTAGCTGGGATTACAGGCACACACCACCATGCTCAGCTAATTTTTTGTATTTTTAGTAGAGACGGGGTTTCACCATGTTGACCAGGATGGTCTCAATCTCTTGACCTTGTGATCCACCCGCCTCGGCCTCCCAAAGTGCTGGGATTACAGGCGTGAGCCACCGCGCCTGGCCCTGAAAAACTTTTATTTTTAATTCAAAGAGATTAAAATAAGGAGCAAAACTGGTATGCATTTCAAATACTCTTTCTCTGCCAATGATCAAAACAATTAGAGATGAAATGAAAACAAAATCTTAGGTAATTAACAGACTGGATAGTCAGGTTTAAAATCAATAAGGATTAACTGTTAATACACTTTGGTACCAGAAAGCTTACACCAAAGTTTGTTAGAAGGGAGATTAAACAGGTGTTGATACATTACACAGAAAGAAAAGAGTAAAAAAGGAGGTGTGGAGAGAAAGCTGAGTCCTTTGGGTCTTCCCCAAATCTTCTATCACTAAAGAAAAGTAACTGCCTGAAAGTGTGACAGGGTAATAAGAGTAGCCTCTGGGCTCACTGCAGAAAGGAAGTTGGCCTTCGATTTCAATAATTCAGGGTCCTGTGGGAGAGACAGTCTTCTCAGTGGAGGAAGGGGAAATTTGTGGTACCCTAGAGGAAGAGCTCTTTGGTTCGTTGAAACTTTGAGTTTTGAGTTTTCTGTATAGCAAAAAGTGGAGACTTAAATTCATCTTTGTGGAAGACCTCTTCCTTTGTTACGAGAAAGCCACCCTTTCCGTAGTTATAGGAATTGAAACAAGTCCTCACCTGACCCAGTGTTATTGAAAAGGGGAAAGTTGTGACTTCGAAATGAATTCAGAAGCATCCATTGTAGAGTTAAACAGAGCAGCCAAATGAGCTAGTGTAGTTGTAGTTGTATATAGTTGAGACATGTTATAGTTTGGTATTACAGTGCCTGCCTAAATGCAGTAGCTCAGAGTTTTCCTAGATTGCAAATGAGTATTTATTCAAATGAAGACATATCATACTGGTTTAAAATTAAGACAACTTTAAAATAGGATTAGGAACCAGAAATTGAGATGATGAGAGTGCCTAAAGACAGATGGAGTTAATCAATTACAATTTTCCTTTTGATTCCATTTCATCCATATAAACAGAAATTCTCCACAAAAATTTTTGTGAAATGAACGACTGAGAATTGTGATTCTGAAAGTTTTTGCCCCTTCAAAAAAAAAAAAACCCACAACTTTTTAATGCTCATATTAGGTATGTAAATGTTTTTTGATTGATGTGAGATTTCACTTGCTAGGAGAGTTTATTTAAGTTTATCTAAAATTCCCTGAGAAAAGAATGTACTATTTAAGGTAGATTATGTCTCAAGGTACACACCCTGATTTGAGAGAGAGACGCTAGCTACCAGCTTCCAATTTTCCATCCTTAAGATCAGTGAAAGAAAGGAAATCCAGGCTCTTCAGTTTAGCTTCAACACTATCAGTAAACTCCCTGGAGGCTTTCTGCAGTGGAAGCCGGGGTGGGCCCATTGGAATCCCAGAGACCAGAGTCATGATGGCTTTGGTCTGTGACACTCCAAAACCTAGATGGGAAAAATAAATGAGGAAACATGACTGACTGTTCATCCCTCCACAAACATCCCAAAGAAGGAGACCATATGCTAATAGCAACTACTACAACAGGGTAAGATTAAAACAAAAGATGAGAACATTTCTAGTCCATATGAAAGATGAGCAGTCATTTGAAATCCCTCTTCCTGCTTCAAACACACAGAAATGCTGGAAAATTTTAACAAGCTGATCACAGTAAAAGAAAACAAAGACTCGGCCGGGCGCGGTGGCTCAAGCCTGTAATCCCAGCACTTTGGGAGGCCGAGGCGGGTGGATCACGAGGTCAACAGATCGAGACCATCCTGGTCAACATGGTGAAACCCCGTCTCTACTAAAAATTACAAAAAATTAGCTGGGCACGGTGGTGCGTGCCTGTAATCCCAGCTACTCAGGAGGCTGAGGCAGGAGAATTGCCTGAACCCAGGAGGCGGAGGTTGCGGTGAGCCGAGACTGCGCCATTGCACTCCAGCCTGGGTAACAAGAGCGAAACTCCGTCTCAAAAAAAAAAAAAAAAAAAAAGAAAACAAAGACTCAAGATGAATCTTAAACCCAAGAAGGAGGAGCCAAAGGTGTCAGGAATCAAGAGGTCAGAAAGATGAGGAGAAGCTGATGCCAAACAGCCCTTGAGGATAATCTGATTTAGGAATACACTATTGTTGATCAAAGGAGGTAGGACTTTATTGCCAGGACAAAATTTAGTTTAGTTTACGTAGGAAGTCCCTGAGAAATGCAGTACTTAAGGTCGCTTGTGACTCAATGCTGCTGTTTTCATGCTGGTGTTATACGGCTGGCATGGGAATGGAAAATGAAGTCTTGGATCTGTGCATGGTGAGAAGCTGGAATTAAACTCCCTGTGTAAAACTGGTAGTCAGCCTTCTATGAGAGGCAATAGAAAAAAACTCAGCCCATTGGTCTGGAGATAGAGAAGAAAACCTGACTTCTACCAGGGTTGTAGACAGAAACAGATCTCATGAAAGAAATCTTGAGCCCGAGCCAAAGGTGAATGCTAGATCCCAATATGCATTACAAACTTAGTATAGGTACTATACAAAGAAATTAACCCAGAACTGGTTAGAACTGGTGGAACTACAGTGTCTTAGCAGAGGGAAATGTAAACTCACTTGATAGGGCACCTTACAACCTAATGTTCAATGGGTTATGCGGAAAAGAACAGTCTCTGAAGATGAGCTCAAAGCTAAAGATTACAAAGCCCATGAGGAAAAGCAGCAGCATGAGAACCAGCAAGTTCCAAAATGACAAAACTCACATCCTGAGAGTAGATGACAGATTATTCTGAAAGAGATTTCTCAGAGATAAAAGGAGGAATAGAAGCCATAGGGTAAGAGAAGTAAAGAATGCTAGAGAACAAAACAATCAACAAGAATTACTGAAAAAAATATATATATTTAGGGAAATCAAACACTAAAAACATAGCTAAAGAAAGGATTAGTGATTTTCAAGGTAGATCTAAGGAAATAATAGCATAGAAAGATATGTTAAATATTTTTTAAAATTGCGATACAGATTGAGAAAATCCAAAATACATCTAATAGGCTTTCAGAAGGAGAGATTTGAGTAAATGCAGTCAAAATAATCTTTACAGATGACAGTAGAGAATTTTTTCAGAACTAAAGGAAGATAAAGCCTTCAGACTGAAGAAGCAGATAGAACATCAGGTACACTGTTAATATGTAAAAAGCTTAACAATTATCAATCATAATCTCCAATCCCTGTCTTCTGTAATTTGTTTTCTTAGCTGGCTATTGCTTTCAGATTCAAGATATAAGAACTAACTTTCTTTTGCTAGGTTAGTTTCGGTACAGTAAACACTGAGCATTGGGAAGGAAAATATTAGCATGATTGAACATACATAGGCCTCCCTTGTCTGCAGTTCCACTTTCCATGGCTTCAGTTATCTGTGGTCAACCACAGTCCAAAAATAATAAGGTATTTTGAGAGAGAGACAGAGAGACTGACCACAGTCATATAACTTTTATTGCAGTATATTGTTATAATTGTTCTAATTTATTAGTTTATCTCTTACTGTGCCTAATTTATAAATTAAACTTTACCATAGGTATGTATGTGCAGGAAAAAAAATATAGTGTATATATAGGGTTTTGTACTATCTGCAATTTCAGGCATCCTCTGGTCTTCTTGGAACATACCCCCCCGAGATAAGGGGGACTACTGCACACAGGCAATCTTTTAGTTCATCCAGCATTTTAATAGTTCAGTACCTATTTTAATGTACTTTAGGAACATATGATTATCACACCAAATCCACAATTTTGTGAAAACATGCTTAGAAAAAGGGAACAGTAATAGGTAGTTCATAGCACTGGTGGCACACAAATGTGCAAAAATCATGAAAGTGGAAACACAAACAGAAACGTCCTAGAAGGACTAAGAGTAGGCTGAGAACCCTGCAGAAATGAGGGGCGAAGCACATAGGAGGTGCTTGAGGGAGAGGGAAGTTGCCAGGATTATGCAGAAGGGCTCTGACAGAGAGCAGGGAGGTTTGCCGAAAATAAACTTAAAGCCCTTCCTGCATTAATGCGGGTTCAGCTGGCCCAAGGGCCAACCCCTTGCAGAAGAGGAACGGATGGTGGCATTTGTCATTTGTTATAGAATAAGACTTAAGACACTGGAGAGGTTCCTCTGCTCCATTTCACTGTGTTTCTCCCCACTACTCCTCAATTTTACTTTGTCATATTATCCAAACCTCCATCCATTTAAGCTTACATGTGTTAATAAACTCTGTTTAAATTGTAAATACTCTTGGGAGAGCTGTCAGTCATTCACAATTTAGTAGGATCTGTATTTAGACTGCCTTCCTCCTAGCACTTAGGCTGAAATCAGCCACAATGCAGTAGTAGCATTTTAATGAGCAGAGGCAAATAAAGGGAGGGAGTGTGGACGGTTTAGGGAGAAAAAATGGAAAATGGGGTAGGTATGTGCTAAAATGGAGAAGGCTGCCAAGATCTTCCAACTAGGTTTACTTCACAGTTTTATATGGTTGGCCCCGAGGGTTAATAAGGGAAACAGAACTCTGCTTGCAACAGACCAATAAAAGGTGTGCTTGTTGAACCCTCAGAGAAAGTGATGGTATTCCATTTTCCTTACAGTCTCCAACAGCAGGCAAAGCAGAAAACAGTTGCGGCACTTACCTAGTTTGACCACAAAATTGATAAATCTCTGGATACAAAACTAGAAAAGAACAAACAAATCTATAGTTAATATTACTGAACTGTGTAAATAATGTAAAGAAATTAGAAGTCAAATTACAGAAACCCTAAAAAGTCTGCACACCTTCATTTACTGAAGATCTGTCAGAGTGGAGAAAAATAGCCAAGTGAAGATGACTGGGATCCATCCAGGCTAAGGTAAGATCTTTTCATACACGTAGGCTTTACAGAATGGGCCCAGGCAGAAAAGAAGCTTCAATGATGGACTTGTACAAAAGAGTAAAGATGGGAAATCACACCCCTTATCCGTCTGGCTTACATAGGTAAACTTATCTGTTAGTGTAGTAGTTTTCAAACTGGGGTACAGATAGCTCTGGGGTTCCTTCCAGGATTCCTAAGGAGAACATGGCCAAGGCTAAGATTTATGGGAATTAATTTCTAGATCCTCAGCTTCTGTAAGTGCTGTGTTCTAAAACTGATCAGCATAAGAATTTGCATGGAATGGAGGTGCAGGTTGTTCTCTTGTTTTCCCATTCACAGTCTTTCTTTTTCTATTTTTGAAAAAAATAAAGACATACCTCCTATATCCATTGCCTTGGGATACCTCTGGAGTACCAAATAAAAGAGCAAATCAAAATGTTAGCATTAGTATTGACAATGAGAGGGACAGTGATTCCTCTAATTAACAGATAATAAGTCCTCTCAAAAATCAGAGGTTTTTCAATTATTTGCTTTCTACACTGCTAGCTACTCGGGTTTCAGCTAAAAATCAGTAAAGCATTCTGTGATTTTGGCATATGATTTAAAAAATGTTCAAAGAATTGAGTGACACTGCTATAACAAAATTTCCATTCTTATCTACTAACTCACATGAATACAGTTTTGAAATACTTATTTCTCCAAAAACAAAAATAGTATTGATGTTGAACCTCAACTCATCCTAGCATTAAGTAATATTCATCCATGGATTCATAGAAAAATTGGTTTAAAAAAAACAGCCTCATCTATCTTATTAAGAGATGTATTTTCAATAACATTTAACTTTTATATTTATCAAAATGCTTAACATATTTGTTTTAATTGACTGTATGCTAGAAATAATATTCATTGTACAATAAAGAGACTTATATATGTGTTCTACCCCATGAATGATATAGCACATTACATTTACTATCTTGTTCTTTGCTGCTTTTTTCCATTTAACATACCATATAGATCTTTCCAGGTCAGAATACATAAAGCTATCTCATTTTTAAGAGCTACATATAATTCAGTTGCATAATATATTTAATCATTGCCTTATGGATGAACATTGGGCTGTTTTTTTAAAATTTTTTGTTGTTGTTGTTAATGAATGAGAGCTTCTTATGTTGCTCAGGTTGGCCTTGAACTCATAGCCTTGCACCTCAAGCACCAGGACAATTGGCCGGAGCCACCGCGGCTCCTATTTGGGCTGTTTTTATCTTTTGCTCTTATAAACAAAGCTGCAAGGAATATCTTTGTACATGTGTCATTTCACTCATGTAAATATAAAAGAGGGCATTTAAGTACATTAAGGTGAATGAGATAAATTTAACCCTAACATCTTTTCTGCTTCTTCACGTGACTCAAAGGTCTTCAAGAGCAGAAACCAGCTTTACTGAAATTATGTACTGAGCACAGCCCCTGACATATCAATGAATGAGTAAATAAGACTCACTCACACATGCCTTTTTAAGAAGAAACACAGAATGTGGTAAACTAAGTTCCTTACCAACATTGTTTTGAATGGGATGATTTATTTAGAGTGGGACTAAGGTGGGGGAAAAGATGGAGACTGGATCAGCTAATAAGAGAAGCCACTGAGTGGAAGGGTCAGCATTACAGCCGCTTCAGTCTACTCCATCTATGATTTCCCTGTTCTCTTCAGAACAGGCTAGAATTTTCAGGCATAACTTTTCTAGGAAACTAGGCAGGGTGGGGGAAACCATCAATGCAAGGAAATGGCAGTCTGAAATTCATTCTTCATACCCTTATTTAAACCAAAATCTTGTCAATGTCTAGCTTATGTTGCATAGCTTCCTAGATCCCTACCCAGTTCCTATTCTTAGTTTCACCTGGTCTGAGGATGGACAAAGGTGAAAGTTAAGGTATTTAAACTTTAAGGAGGAAGTAGATTTATGATGGCTCAACTTTGAGGCCTAAGGGTGGGGAATAATTGATCACTTCTGGATTCTGCTTCTTCATGCTCTCTCTGGGTTGGGGCTGCAGGTCACTCCCTCTAGCCCCCAGGGTGCTTTGTACTTCTGCTCTGTCATCTCTGATTACACTGATGGCAGCCTGTCCTGTTCAAAAAGATCCCACAGCCAAGCTTCATTAGAACCCTCTTGGGTTCTATGTGATTTCCTAGAATTTCATAATAACTTATCTTCTTTTATATAAGCTAGTTTAAATGGGTTTCTGTTACTTGTAACCAAATAATTTCTGACAAAGACAGAAACTCACAAAGCGTTAGTCCATCCTTGAGACACTGGTCACCAGGGTCTATAACACTAAGGGTCAGTTCCTGCTAAGGTGTAGGAACTTAGGGCTTGTGCTCAAGTCATGTGTTCATGTGTCTCACCTCTAACTGCAACAGGTTCTTCTAAACAATGACTGAATTTCTTTTTTTTAGCTGGGTGTAGCGGCATATGCCTATAGCCCCAGCTACTCAAGAGGCTGAGGCAGGAAGACTGCTTGAGCCCAGGAGGTCGAGGCTGCAGTGAGCTATGATCATACCACTGCACTCCAGCCTGGACAACAGAGCAAGACCCTGTCTCTAAATAAAAGAGAACCAGCTGTTGAGACTGTTCCACCCTTCACTGAGGTTCTTCTTTCCCTGAATGGCTAGACTGTCCTCCATGGAACATTCACAGCAGCCACTATGTCCTCTGGGATCTTCCTTGTAACATATCAGCTTCTGCTTCCTGTCTCAAATCCTGTATCTACTTTTGGGTCACCCACTAGGCTCTTATTTTCTTCCTGGTGGATGTTTCTAGTTCTCAGCACATTTCCAGGGTGAACAAGACTGACCTGCCCTGACTTTGAATGAAGCCTTCCCCATTTTAGGTTACCATGTTCATAACTTCCTCATATTCTGTGATAACTCTGGTGTGATGTCCTCAATGGGACAGCATGTGGTCATTTTCCCAGAAATCTATGACCATTATATTATAGTCACAAAAGTACTTTGAAGATAGAGTAAAAATAAGATCCTTTCTAGGAGGAAGAGAAGAGCCATATCCATATGGGGCCTGTCCTGATTAGACATGTAGGGAACACAGACAATGGGGACAGCTTTGGTTTTAAACAGGGAAAAGAGAGAAACAGAAGAAAGGTAAAGAAAGAAGCGCTGGGCAATTTTAATGAGGGCAAGTATGGTAGGAATGCTGGTGAGAGAGAAGAAAAAGAATCCTTAATTGGAAAAGAAAAAAGGCCGTGGGAAGGGAAGAAAACGTTTACCTGATAGTTCAGGGCTAAAGAGAAGTCCTTTCTTTCGAAAGCCTCCAACATCTGGCTTGTCTTTTTTCCCAGGTAGTTATAGGTACTGGAAAGACAACAGCAAATACTGCAGCTTCAATAACTCAACAGGAAAGGCCCAGATCTTCAAATCCCTCTGCTGTTTAAAAGGGAAAAAATATACCCAGTCCTCCTAAAGTCTGTTTTTGGGTCTTAATCTGTTAGGGGATCAGACTGCCTTCAGTTCTGAGTTTTCCAGCAATACTAAGCAGTACTGCAGAGAAGGAAGAGTGACAAAAGGGGATAAAGGAAGAAAAGTGGAAAAAAGATAAAACAGAAAAAAAAAAGCTGGAGGTGTATTTGCTGGGAAGTGACTGAGGCCAGCTCCTGCCCTCGGGTACACACAGGTGCAATGCCAGACAAGAAATGTGGAAAAAATGTAGCATCTGAGGTGAGTCCTAAAAGGCTTATACTGAAAAACTGGGTGGATGGAGCACCATGGTAAAAGGGGCAAATCCCAACAAATTACCTTCATTCCTTGCCAATGTATATATTACTTAAAGACTAGTTTCTAGACAGTAATATTAATAATCATAATAAAATGAGGGCCCATTTACTAAGTGCCTATTATATTACAGGTGCTTGACATAGATCATGTCTAATCCTTGTAAAACCATGGAAGGGTAGGCCTGGTTTTTATTTTGATCAAAGAAGGGCTGCAGAGTTGCCACAAAAGCTTTTCCATTGTGTCATGCTATCTTCAATAATAATGCAATAAAAATGAAGGTAAGAATACTTATTTGACCTGACAATACATTTTTGTGGACTTAAACTCTCTAACTCTACCTATAAAGACAAATATCTTAAATGAATCACTGAATTATCTGAGGCCCAGTTGTATATCCTCCCCTTGGATTCTGTGTGATTTCTCAGTATTTTATAATAACTTATCTTCTTTTACATAAGCTAGTTTAAATGGGCTTCTGTTATTTGTAACCAAATAATTTCTGAAATCAGCAAAGTAGAAGGTTATAGAAACTCATAATAAGGACATTTCCCCAAGTTCTTTAAATTCAAATCGCTTCTCACATGGTAAGTCGGTATCAGAAAATGCATTTATCTTGATGTACCAAGAACAGAAATGTTGTTGGACTTTTATATATAAGCCCTGGGTCAACAGCAAAGGATTCCAGGAATGTGAAGCTCATGTTATCTTCTGGCAATAGACTAAGGAAGAACAATGTCTGAGGAGTTTCAGACACTAAAATTTGAATCCCAGTGGTCTTAGGTGTATCCTTGGTTAGAAAGAAAGGTGATTATAACTAGGGAGAAATGAAGTCTAACCAAATGTACTTTGCTTATAGATTATGTTGACAGAATTAAAATGCCTAGGATGGAGGCCAAAAAGGAGGAGTCAAAAAAGTAAGAATTTCCAGGGGGAAAAAGGTTTAATGGTGATATGATTTGGATCTGTGTCCCTGCCCAAGTCTCATGTTGAAATATAATCCTCAATGCTGGAGGTGGGGCCTGGTGGGAGTTGGCTGGATCATGGGGGCAGTTCACATGGTTTAACTCATCTCCCTTTGTGCTGTTGTTGTGATAGTTCTCATGGAATATGGTTATTTAAAAGTGTGTGGCACCTGACCTCCTCTTCCTCCTGCTCTGGCCATGTAAGATGTACTTGCTTAGCCTTGCTCCATGATTGAAAGTTTCGTTCAGAAGCCAAGCACATGCTGCCAAGCTTCCTGCACTGCTGAATCATAAGCCAATTAAACTTCTTTTCTTATAAATTGCTCAGGTGTTTCTTTTTTTTCCTTCTTTTCTTTTTCTTTTGAGACAAAGTCTTGTTCTGTCATCCAGGCTGGAGTGCAGTGGGGCAATCTTGGCTCACTGCAACCTCCACCTCCCAGGTTCAAGTGTTTCTCCTGCTTCAGCCTCCGGAGTAGCTGGGACTACAGGCGTGCACCACCACGCCCAGCTAATTTTTGTAATTTTAGTAGAGACAAGGTTTCCCATGTTGGCCAGGCTGGTCTTGAATGCCTGGCCTTGTGATGTGCCTGCCTCGACCTCCCAAAGTGCTAGGATTACAAGCGTGAGCCACCGTGCCCAGCCACTTTACAGCAATGTGAGAATGAACTACTACAGATGTTCAGCAAATACAGCATTCAGATTTCCTTAGTAGAAATACCCCTGTAGTTATGATGGCTGTCATGGGCAATCTTGGCTTGGTGAACAAGCCATTTACATTATTCAACTCAGTCACTCTTTCTCAAAGCCAGGCTCACCAAAATATGCTATAAATGTTATTTTGCTCCCTTGGTACCTTTCAGTGAATGCAAACATTTCATTCAATCTGCTTACAAGCATATTCTAATGAATTAGGTTAACATGTGCAGTGGACATGCTAATTGAATTGCCTGTCTTTTGCTAAGTAGGCATTGGGGCACATGATTCCGGTTAGACCTGACATGGACACTTGCCTAGGTATTGCTACCTAATGATGTCCTGAGATGCCACACTTGGGCAGCCATGACTGGGCATGTGCATACTGAAGCAGAGAAAGCCCATCTGGATACAGACAGACAGAAGAGAAATGAAGGCATGTGCAGAAAGATGCAGAGGTAAGTCTCTTCAAAAAACCACACATGGAAGATGATCTGCCTTGGCTGCTGAGATTCTGCAGTTCTTGGCTTTCATTTTCTCTGAGGCCTGGTTGTATATCCTCCTCTTGGGTTCTATGTGATTTCCTAAAATTTCATAATAACTTATCTTCTTTTACATAAGCTAGTTTAAATGGGTTTCTGTTACTTGTAATCAAATAATTTCTGACAAAGATAGAAACTCACAAAGTGTGAGTCCATCCTTGAGACACTGGTCACCAGGGTCTATAGCACTAAGGGTCAGTTCCTGCTAAGGTGTAGGAACTTAGGGCATGTGCTCAAGTCATGTGTTCATGTGTCTCACCTCTAACTGCAACAGGTTCTTCTAAACAATAACTGAATTTCTTTTTTTTTTCTTTTTGAGACTGTGTTGCCCTCTGTTACCCAGGCTGGAGTGCAGTGGCGTGATCTTGGCTCACTGTAATCTCTGCTTCCCGGGTACAAGCGATTCTCGTGCCTCAGCCTCCTGAGTAGCTGGCATTACAGGCATATGCCACCACACCAGGCTAATTTTTTTTTATTTTTAGTAGAGATGAGGTTTCATCATGTTGGCCAGGCTGGTCTCGAACTCCTGACCTCAAGTGATCCGCCTACCTTGGCCTCCCAAATTGCTGGGATTACAGGTGTGAGCCACCATGCCCAGCCCAATGACTGAATTTGTAACAAACAGCTAAGCACTATTTCATTCCCTTTCACTGGAAGAATGTAGAAAAGAAACTTCTATTAGAAGGGATGTACATGCAAGAAATACAGCTACTTTGGTGACGAATGCTTTGATGGACATAATCACTGGGAAAAATGAACATGCTTACCTGCCCACTGCTCCAGTTGCTCCCATCACCAGAGCACTCAACAGTTGCTAATTAGAAACAAAGAATATTCGCTTTTGTAAAAAAAAGAGAAAGAGAAGAGATGCTACTATATAAATAGCTACACAAATTGTTTTGGAGGGAACTGACCTGCTGCAACATGCTAGGGGGTGACTTACCTCATCCACCCCAAAAAGGAAAGCAAATTGTTGCTGGCGATGCTGATCAACACATTGCCCGAAGTCTAAGAGATCTGTATCACTGAATTTCAGCCCTTGGAAGGTGGGGATCTTATCCTGAATCCCATCCAGCAACTCCTCAGCACGAACTGTTCAAAACAGTAAGTGCCTCATTAATCTGCACATCTCTAGGAAATAACATCTCATACAGCAGCACACATCTGCAGTGAGCTGCCACATGCTGCTGTCAGCCGGAACTGACTGCAGACTGGGCATAATCACTTGCCTAACTTGCAGCTCCTATGTACTTGTCCAATTATAATCCTAAACTTTCCATTCCTTGTGAAGTGTAAATATCTATTTGATCTTAGTCCCCGGTTCCTGAGACAAAGTACCTATGACTCTTATAGACAGGGATGCTAGGAGAATATTTATTCTTACATTTGGTCTCAACCCTGATTCCTGACACTCTGAAGACCTTTGTAATTTCCTGAGTGATAGGAGCATCTGACACAGAGCTCTTAAATCCCTTGGAATCTACAAAATGATATGTATATTTCTGTACGCTATGAAGTTGACTGATGGCTGGATCTCCTAGATAGCCTCAAGATAAGCGCTGATTGCCAGGGAAACCAACCATGTGCTTAGAGGGTTGAAACTTTCAGTCATACCCTTGGTCTCTGGGGAGGAGAGGGGGACTAAAGATTGAGTTGATCATCGATGGCCAGTGATGTACTCAATAATGCCTACATGATGAAGCCTCCATCAAACCCCAAAAGAACAGGGCTTCTGGGTTGCTGAACACATGAAGGTGCCTGGTGGATGGCTTGTTCAGAGAGAGCACGAAATCTCCATGCCCCTTCTCACATATCTTACCCTATGCATCTCTTTCTCTGGTTGTTTATCTGTATCCTTCATAATAAATGGGCAATAGTAAGTAAAGTGCTTCTCTGAGTTCTGTGAACTACTGTAGCAAATTAATTGAACCCAAGGAGGAGGTCAATGGAACCCTGATTTATAGCTGGTCAGAAGTACAGGCCACAGCCTGGGACTTGAGTCTGGCATTGAAGTGGGGGCAGTCCTGTGGGACTAAGCCCTTAACCTCTGGGACCCAATGCGAACTCCAGTAGACAGTGTCAGAACTGAATCCACTTAGAGGACACCCAGTTAGTCTCTGATGAAGAACTGGTTGTTGGGGGTAGAAATGCCCACACACGTTTTGGTGGTCAGAGGTAAGATGTTTTGCGTTGAGTGGTAAGCATGAGAGTAGAGAACAGGAAAAACAGTTTTTTTTTTTTTCTCAGAATGTTTATAAAGTACAGTTGAGTGGTAAGTATGAGAGTAGAGAATAGGAAAAGCAGTTTTTTTTTCCTCAGAATGTTTATAAAGTACAGCCTCTATTTTTCCTCTTATGGAATTTAGAAAAGAGTGGGACTTTAAAATTAATCTAAGACATTTCATCTAATTGTAAAACTCTTCTTTCTGAAAAAATATAGTAATAATAAAAGAAAAGCTAGAAGAGAAGTCAAAAGAGATCAGAGGACTTTCCTGTGTGCTACAGGCAATAAGAATACAACAGGTTCAAGGCAGACACACTCTTGTCCTAGTGAGGGATACAGCCTCACGTCTTCTCAATAAGAAGAAGGGGTGTGTGTGATGGAGACAAAAGGCGTATGCTACAAGTGCCCAGAGATCAAATTTCCTTTCACACCTAACAACTTCCATTATACAGCAGTGTGAGTGATTGATAAGGTGTGGGTCTTTAGAGTGAAATTTAGTAACAACTGGAACTGCCCAGGTAATGGTGGTGGGCTATTGTGGCATGGAGTAGGGTGGGATGGAGTGGTTTCTTAGCATAATAGGGTAAGATGTGAGAGTTGAGAGGAAAGAAATATCAAAAGAAGCAGTACTTACTCTTTACCCCTGTCAAGGCAGGAATGTGATAGTAATAAAATGGTAGAGCAGGGGCGGCAGCAGCCACTTCCTTTAGGAAATTAATCAGGACATCTGAAAGAACAGCAGGAACAGTTATGGTGAGAACAGGTATTAAACAGTAGCTTTCCTTGGTTAAAAAAAAAAAAAAAAAGAATCACCTGATGAAACAACCACGTTTCTCAGAAGCCTCAAATTCTCAACCACTCTTACCATCCCTGCTATTGCAATGTTTTTGCAACTCACTTCCTCCAAAGTTTTATTTTCCAGCCCAAAATAAGATGGTTATTCTCCTACCATACTAAACTCTATTAAAAAAAATTCATGAAAACCTTCCCACATATAAAGAGATGATCATGAAATACATTTATAAAAACAGAAGTCCGTCACATAAGACTCTTGTCTTCTTACTCGGAAAAGGCTAAGTGTGGCCCGTAAACAACAAAGACTACTATAGAATAATAGATCAGAATAATAAGGTGGTAATTAAGAAAATTCTGTAACAAAAAGATAAACAATATCTGCTTCAAGATACAAGTTATAGGAGTAGGGGCACATTTAACAAGAATTCCAGCAAAATTTGGTACTTTTCCCTTTGGGGAGAAATCCAGACACCCTGGTTTGCTGAGGAAGTGGGGTTTCCTATATCATCTCATGGGAGCTTCACCTGTAACACTACTGCAGATGATAGGTCCAGCAGCACTCCTCATGTTTTAGATGCCACTAGGTAATGGGAGAATTTTATGTACATCATCTGAATACTGTTATGATGGGTATTCAGGCTAGGATAATATTTCTGACAAATTATTATGCATACATTCATTATTTTTCCTTTTAGGAAAAATATTCATTTAAAAATTTGTAAAGCCATGTGAAAAAATTTTTAAATGTTGGGCTGAACACAGTGGCTCATGCCTGTAATCCCAGCACTTTGGGAGGCTGAGGCAGGCGGATCAGCTGAGACCAAGAATTCAAGGATATCCTGGGCAAGATCATACCAACATCTTATCCCTACAAAAAAATAAAAAAAAAAAATTAGCTGGGCATGGTGGCACATGCCTGTAAGTCCTAGCTACTCAGGAGGCCAAGGGAGGAGGGTTGCTTAAGCCCAGCAGTTCAAGGCTGCAGAGAGCTATGATCATGCCACTATACTCCAGCCTGGGTGACAAAGCAAGACACCATCTCTAAAAAACAAATAATTAAAAAAATTTTAAACTTTAAAACTGTTCATTTTAAACTCCCTATTTATAAATATTCAATTACTTATCTACATGAGCTCTTTTCTATTCAACAATAATAGGTGATATGTCATGATGATTTAGACCTATTATACATTTAATTATGGATTTACTGCATCGTGTAGGCAAATAATGTCTGTTTTTATCCTAAAATTTATATTTCCTAAAATTTATATTTCTTTTTTGGTTAATCAAAAAGGATTAAAAAGACTTAGTATAGTTAGATACCATAAATAGTTTCCATAGAGAAAGCAGTGCTTTTGGTATTTCGGAAGGCAATGAATATTTCTGTGAAATCTCTTAGAATTCATTTACTCAACCTTGAATAGGATATGTAGTCTCAAAATGCCCATCACTTATATTCTTCTAAGTAAAATGGTCCCATGCTTTGCCATGTGACTGACACCCTATGTAGCTCACTCATCCAGGAACAGACATTTGACCCAAACATAGGCGTCTACAGATCAACCAGGGGTTCAGTGGATAACTCAGATTACTGGGCAAAAGAACTGAAGTACTTTAAGGCAGTCTCTTTTATGGATCCAGGGAGAGCAAATATTTCAGAGTACCACTGTAGCACTGCAACTTCACGCCGCTAATCTATAGTACTTTACTTTCATGAATTAAATATAACCGTTTTGAATGGAGGCAAGAAGAAGTGGACCATGTGAGGTGCTATGCATTCAGACCTATCCACTTACCTTTGGTCCATGGCTTGAGGAAGAATGGTGCAATGACAGCAATGCCATCAGCTCCTATTTCTGCTGCATGTTGGGCCTTTAAAGAAAAAAAAGACGACCATATTGGAACAAGTGATTTATTATAGTCACCTACAGCTTAGATACTAAGGTCTGTAACAAGCTCTTCAAATTTGCCTACTGATGCACCACTGGAGAGTGGGAAAATTAGCCAAATTTAATGAACGTCATTGCCAGGAAAATCCCAAGTTTCAAAGTAAAGCTCCTAGGTGAAGGCGAGCTGTGTTCTTAATCTTATACTTCTTCATATTTTGGCAGTACAAAAAACCTTGCTCAGGAGACATAAATGGTTCATTTTGATGAGTTGTAACTGTTAAATGAGAAATCTGCTGATGTAATTTCTCTTCTGTTCAGTCCATTGATGATACTGTCTTTGCTGTCCAATGACATGACAGTTGTATTTTAAAATTTATATTACAGATTGGGAATGCAGTTGAGACAGGTTGAGAATGAAAAGCTTATGTACATCGCAGAAGATATTTTACACCATGTTTCTGATATTTTCTCAGATTCCTCCAGAAAACAGTATTTCCTCTTGCTGGGCCCTTGTAACACATTTTATCTATTTCAAATAAAGTACCTAAACCTGCCTGGTGGTAAGGCAATTGTGTATGGTGACTGTCCTCCAACCAGAGTCTAAGTCCTTCAGGGCAGGGCTCAGATCTTGCTCACCCTTGAGTCCAGGTCAGTCATGGTGCTGGGCACATAGCAAGGAACCAGCAGATGCTTGTTGATTGTTTCAAAATATGCCCCGCTATCTAAAAAGGGACAAGGGCTTCCTTCTGAGACTTTGACTTATAGTATCTATATCTAATAGACATGATTATCTTTCTGCAGAAGTAAACTAGCACAGTTAAAAGAAGACTGGGATATACCCCAGTGAAGGCACTGGAATTCATTTCATTAACACAGGATCAGAATGTGATATATTTAAATCATTTGCTTAGTACTCTGTTTAGAAAAAGAGTAGAAAAGTAACCTTATCTGAAATCAAGGAAAGAAGAAACATCTAAGAGAGTCGATGGCAGTATCCATTTGAGCATCATCCAATAGTTACAGCTAAGCAGATGCTAATGTTATTGTCTCTTTGACAAGACTACCCCTATACCAGGAGATTATCCCTATACCAAAGAATTATTCATTCCAAGTTTGCCTCTATACCATTCTGGTGTTCAGCCCAATAGATGATACTGTCATTCATATATGATAATATTTTTAAATTTATATTATACATTGGAAAAGAAGCAATTGAAAAGAGAGAAAAAAGAAAAATATACCCTACAACATACTGCCTTAGTTGAAAAACCTTTTGTAAGAATAGCAAATCAAATGTAATAATAAAAAAACCAATAATAAATCAAATAAAGCAAATCAATACTAAATCAAGTCTCTAAATTCTGATTCCACATTTATTAAGGCTAATGCAGCTTGCCTAACGCACTAAATTGCAAGTTTTTTTTGCAAATATATATTATACATCCCATTTCTAAATCCAAATAACAGCCAAAACAAACCAAACCCATTAAGAGGAAGCTGGCCCAGAAAAAGTCATTATAACCTTTGGAGTTAAAATACCTAAGTTCTGAAAACATGGTTAATCTGCAGTAGTCCAGGCACAGGGCCTTCTGATGAACAGTTCTAAATATCTTTGTACTTTCTTTTCTTAACCAATTCACCCAGGCCTCAGAATCACCACACCACCTGCTTTTCTGCCACCTAACCTGCTAATCCCTAAACCTGGAGCAATCCAATTATCTGTATTCTTGTTCCTATGTTCTGTGTACCAGGAAAAAAAATTCCATAAATGTGATGAAGGATGGTATGACAAATTTTGACTTACAACTTGAGTTAGTTTCTAGCATCACTGAGCAATCCCTTTTGTGTTTTAGCTCCTTCTCTCTTTCTCCAATGCAGAATTCACATTTGCCATTCTTCAGGCCTTTATCCTTTGCCCCTCAGTGCCCTTCAGATGGCACTGCCTTCTACTTCCCAGAGAAAACGGAAATTGGCTCAAGTTCTGCTGCTTACCTACAAACTCAGCTACAGCTGCATCCATCCTTACTCTCCTTGGAGGAAGGTGCCTCCATCTCCTATCCTACAGTCGTCATCATCTGGAGCTACAACCCTTTGTGGCTCAGTGCCTGCTTCTGCAGTGAGCCCCTGAGATCCTACACCTTATCTTTTCAGGCACAGCATCCACCACATAGCAAATATAGTATTGATTTTAACTGTAGCACACAAACGGATGCCCCTTGAGTGGTATCTCCCGGATGGAGCTGCATACATACCAGCTCTTGTGACTCCTTCAAGCTTAGTGCTCCTACGTGAATCACCACCTGATCCAGCCTGCAAAAGAGAAAACACTGCTGCATTGCGTAGAGTTTAGAGGAATGCAGAAGGGCTGCACTATCCTGGTTTGCACTGGTTTTAGCGGTTAACTGATGCCTTCTTAGTCTCACTTATTAAGTTCTATAGCAATATATTTAAAATTAATCTACCTAAAGAGGCTTATGGTGATCTTTTAAACATAGATCATTGATATCAAAGTCTAGTCATGTTACTGAGAGATTGGTTGTGATTTGACCATGCCTAGGATGATTTTGATATCACAGCAGAACAGATTCAACCTCAAGGGAGGTAATTAAAGGCAAGATTAAAATGGTATTCCATTTCTTCCTTTCTGTAGGAATATAGCCATTCCTGCAATGACTTCATTCAGAGCCAGTGGGAAGGTGGTATGTTTATACAGTATCGTGGAGGTTTCATGTTGCCAACAGCAGAAGTATATGCTGAAAACCATTAAACATGTACAGACATGGGATTTGTCTCTCATTAAGTTAGAGGAAGAGAATCACAGAGATAATTTAGCCCATTATCTTAAAGGTAAGTAAATTGGAATCTGTAGAAATTAGTTTTATATCCATGCTTACATTAAAAAAACACTTCTAAGTTGTGATAAAAGACAGGAAACTAAAAATCAATTCTAGGTTGGGTACGTCGTGGCTCACACCTATAATCCCAGCACTTTGAGGGGCCAACTTGAGCAGATTATGTGAGCTCAGGAGTTCAAGACCAGCCTGACCAACATGGAGAAACCCCATATCTACTAAAAATACAAAAAAAAAGTAGCCAGGCATGGTGGCACATGCTTATAATCCCAGCTATTCAGGAGGATGAGGCAGGAGAATTGCTTGAACCTGGGAGGCGGAGGTTGCAGTTTGCTGAGATCATGCTGCTGCACTCCAGCCAGGGCAACAAGAGTGAAACTCCATCTCAAAAAATAAATAAATAAATGGAAACAAACAAATTCTAATGGAAATAAAGGATCTAGTTTAATCATGTTAGAGTCAATAATTTATGTGTCAGGTGTCAGGTATTACACATGATTTTTGTAAATAAATGATATTGCATATATTTATTTAACAGTGTTTTGCATATATCTGGCACTGGCTAATACTTGTTGACTTAGATCAAATGTAAATTGAAAAAAAAATCAAGATGCCAATGGTGAATCAAGCACTAGGGAAGAAATCTAATTGGGAGGTGGTACGTACAACATAACTGTTAAGAACTTCTATCCTGGGTGCGGTGGCTCACAGTAAATGCTTAATAAATATTACCAGTTATTATTGTTAAGCCTTAAGAATAGAGCCTTAAAGAAAAAAAATGGGACAATAAAAAAGAAAAAAAAAGAATAGAGCCTTTTAATGCTGTAAAAAATATAGAAAACAATAAAGATAAAGAATCATTAGGGATTTAAAAAATGTCTAGGGAATGGAATTTAAGGCTCAGCTAAGCAGAATTTGAAAAACAATAATTGATTAATCAATACATGAGTACTTAATTTTGTTAAGCATTGTTTTAGATGCTGTATTTGGTGGTGTCACGTGCATGAAGATAGGTATGATACTGAGATATTTTTGGTTGGAGATAAAAATAGCTTCCTCAAAGAATCCAACCAGGAACTAATCCCGTGGGCAGTGAATTCACTTTAAAAAGCAATTTCCTGGGAACGATTCAAGATGGCCAATTGCTAACATCTCGGGATTGCAGCTCTCAGTGAAAGCACAGAGAACGAGAGGATGCCACACTTTCAGACAAATTTTGGTCGCTCACAGAGCAGAAGATTCCAAGTGAAGAAGCCGCACAGGTCGCCAGCGTGACTCTTGTGGCCGGTGCAGCGGTTTTGCTGGCACCTCGGCGCGGCAGCTCTTGGTGCAGAGTAAACGGGACTGGTTCCCCTTCTGACCGAGGTCTGGAGCTCTGGGAAGGCAGAGTCACCTATTACGGACTCAAGAAGGAAGCCAGACTGGAGATTCCCGGGCAGAAAAGCACCATCAGTCTTAACGCCGCTGTTTTGGCTGGCGCAGTGGGTTGCTCATATTTCGGCCCTGGGAATTAACAACTTGGACGTCCACCCAGAGACCTAATCTGAAAGTTGGTAATTACAAAGATGACAGGTGGATAAATTTACAATGATGGGAAGAAACCAGCGTAAAAAGGCTGAGAATACTCAAAATCAGAATGCCTCTCCCTCTAAAGAGGATCACAGTTCCTCATCAACAAGGGAACAAGGCTTGATGGAGGACGAGTGCATCCCATTAACAGAATCAGGCTTCAGAACATGGATAATAAGAAACTTCTGTGAGTTAAAAGAACATGTTGTAGCCCAATGTAAAGAAACTAAGAAATTTGAAAAAAGGTTTGACGAAATCCTAATGAGAATAGACAGCTTAGAGAGGAATATAAGTGAATTAATGGAACTGAAGAATACAATACAGGAACTCCGAGAAGTATGCACAGGTTTAAACACTCGAATTGTTCAAGCAGAAGAAAGGATATCAGAGGTCGAAGTCCAACTTAATGAAATAAAACGAGAAGACGAGATTAGAGAAAAAAAGGATAAAAAGGAATGAGCAAAGTCTCCAAGCAATGTGGGACTATGTGAAAAGACCAAATTTACGTTTGATAGGTGTACCTGAATGCGATGGAGAGAATGAATCCAAGCTGGAAAATATTCTTCAGGATATTATTCAGGAAAATTTTCCTAAACTAGCAAAACAGGACAATATTCAACCCCAGGTAATACAGAGAACACCACAAAGATATTCCTCAAGAAGAGCAACCCCAGGGCACATAATCATTAGATTCACCAGGGTTGAAATGAAGGAAAAAATACTAAGGGCAGCCAGAGAGAAAGGTCAGGTTAATTACAAAGGGAAGCCTATCAGACTTACAGCAGATCTCTCAGCAGAAACTCTACAAGCCAGAAGAAAGTGGGGGCCAATATTCAACATCCTTAAAGAACAGAACTTTCAGCTCAGAATTTCATATCCAGCCAAACTAAGCTTCACAATTGAAGGAAAAATAAAATCTTTTATGAACAAGCAAGTACTCAGATTTTATTACCACCAGGCCTGCTTTATAAGAGCTTCTGAAAGAAGCATTACACATAGAAAGAAACAACCAGTATTAGCCTTTCTAAAAATATACCAAAAAGTAAAGAGCATCAACATAAAGAAGAATTTACATCAACGAATGGATAAAACAGCTAGTTAACATCAAATGGCAGTAATCCTAAATTTAAATAGACTAAATCCCCCAATCAAAAGATACAGCCAAAACCCAACGGTATGCTACATCCTGACCCATTTCACATGCAAGGATACACAAAGACTCAAAACAAAGGGATGGAGAAAGATTTACCAACCAAATGGAGAGCAAAAATAAATAAATAAATAAAAAGCAGGAGTTGCAATTCTCGTATCCGATAAAATAGATTTTAAAGCAACAAAGATATAGTGGTAAAAGGATCAATGCAACAAGAGCAAACAATCCTAACACCCAGATACATAGAGACTTAGACTCAATGAAACAGAAAATTAATAAGGATATCAAGGACTCAAACTTAGATCCGGAACAAGTAAACTTAATATTTATAGAGCTCTCCACTTTAAATACACAAAAGATACATTCTTGTCAATACCACATCACACCTACTCATAGGTTTAAATGAAATATTGATTGGCCATTATTAATACCTATTTTTTTTTAGAATAAAGCAACATTTCCGTTCTCTCTCCCTCTTTTTCTTCCTCTTCCTTCGTCTCCTTCACTCCTTTTTCTTTCCTTCTCTCAAAAAAAGAAGGAAAGAAATCAACTTGTAGACCTCTAGATCCAGGTCGGCAATGCCTCTCTCACTGCCTCATTTCCTTCCTTCCCTTCTCTCCCTCCCTCCTTCCCTCCCTCCCTCCCTTCTTTCCTCCCTTCCTCCCTTCTTTCCTCCCTTCCTCCTTTCCTCCCTTCCTGCCTTCCTCCCTTCCTACAAAAAAAAAAAGCAATTTCCTATCTTGCAAATCTCCTCATAATTTGGCCAAAAGAGGATAGTTGCTCTCATACCCCAATGGTCATTTTTGGGGGTACTCCATGTTCCATCTGGGGAGAGGCTACAGTGGGAGACTGGTCTTCTAAAAGTGGGATTAATAATGTTCAGCCATGAATGCAGTCATCCCAGTGAGTCTTCTGAAGGACCCTGAATAACACATACCCTCATGAGACAGATACCACATTTCTGTTTAGGCCCAGTCACGGAGTCCTCCAGGGGTTCCTGCTAGCTCTGTCTTAGGTAAAACAGGACCTAGCTGGGAAGTGACATGATCAGGTTTGTATTTGTATTTTTCTATTTTTTTCTTTTTTTTTAAACTTCATTTTAAGTTTAATATACCTTGAAGGTTTGTATTTTTAAAGAACAGAAGACTTCTGAATGGAAAAAGGAGAACTGACTGACCTGCTGGACTCTCACCAGCAGTTTTATTGCATGACCCCTTTCTTCACTACCCCTTTCTTTTGGCTTAGGTGAAGCCAATCATCCATTTGCTTTTCCTCTTTCTCCTGGGCTGCTAGATACAGCTACCATTGTTGGAAATTTAAAATACAAATTTCCTAGTGATCTCCCAATCCAGGAGAGGGCTCCAATGAGCGTTCTGGCTGTTACGCCTCATTTCTCTGGAGTGCTACTCCAAATCTTGACTATTCCTGTCAAGCTCTAAATTCTTACCAATTACTTGTTCTGGGCAGATGTCCGAGTCCCAGAGACCAAAGATGAAGCAGCTTTCAAACGCAGACTCCCTTACCCTTCTTCCTTTCCACCTGTGTGTGGGGTGACGTCACCATTTGCTTTCCTCCTAGCTTCTCAGCTGTTTTTTTTTTTTTTTTTTTTTTGAGGAGTTTTGTTCTGTTGCCCAGGCTGGAGTGCAGTGGAGTGATCTTGGCTCACTGCAACCTCCGTCTCCTGGGTTCAAGCAGTTCTCCTGCCTCAGCCTCCTGATTAGCTGGGATTACAGGTGCTTGCCACCATGCCCAGCTAATTTTTGTATTTTTAGTAGAGACAGGGTTTCACCATGCTGGCCAGGCTAGTTTCGAACTCCTGACCCCGTGATCTGCCCGCCTCAGCCTCCCAAAGTGCTGGGATTATAGGTGTGAGCCACTGTGCCCAGCCGGTGTTATATCTTTAAAACCCAATGTAGATTGTGAGTTGAATCAATTTCTGATCAATTCATCAGGATGTAATCCTATCATCAGTGGAGAAGCATCTGTATTTCAAACTCCTAGCCAACCCCCCCATCCAAGACCTTTCATCAGAGTTATCAATTCACCACTTTTTTTTTTAAGACAGGGTCTTGCTCTGTCCCCCAGGCTGGAGTGTAGTGGTGTGATTTTGGCTCACTGCAACCTCTATCCCCCTAGCCTCAAGTGATCCTCCTGTCTCAGCTTCCCAAGTGGCTGGGACCACAGAGGCATACCACTATGCCTGGCTATTTTTTTTTTTTTTTTTTTTTTTGTAGAAATGGGGCCTTCGTATGTTGCCCAGGCTGGTCCTGATCTCCTGGGCTCAAGCAATCTGCCTGCCTAGGCCTCCCAAAGTGCTGGGATGACAGGTGTTAACCACTGTGCCCAGCCAAGGTTTACTAGTCTTTTCTGTATTTTTAATCTCGTCTCCCCTGGCAGTTTTTCAGCATAGAAACATGCTCAAATTTTTTCCACTTAACGAAACTGTCCTCCTTTCAATCTTGCCTATTCCTTCCTAATCTACGACTCCGTCTCTCCTCTCCTTCCCTTTGCCAGAAATCTGTGAGGATCGGCTGCACTCACTGCCCCCACATGCAGATGTCTGCTGCATTCTACAGCTCACTGCAGTCTGGCTTCTCTACAATAACCTGACTGGCCCCACTCTCAGAGGTCATCAGTGACTTCCTGTGATGTGTCAAACCTAGCGGTTTTCTCAGTCTTTCATATGCTGACTTTCATGGCATCTAATAGTTATTATAACAAATGTTATAATAAACACAGCACCTACTGCATCTACTGCAAATAGTTACAATGAATTCTTACATTAGTGTGAATGTGTTATGTGAATGATGCTTGCCAGGCACTGTTCTAATACTCTCTACAACCTCCTAAGTGAGGTACTATTATTTCTACTTTAGGAGTGAAGCACACAGAAGTTGGGTGATGTGCCTGAGTCCCCAGAGCTAATAAAAAGCAGAGCGGGGCCTCAGACAGACAGTTGGGCTCTATGGTGCCTGCTACACTGGCGCTCTCTGAAATCATTGTCCCTGGCTGCCGTGACCGGACCCACTCCCAACCGCCCTCCTACCCCCGAGGGCTTTCTGTCTCTGCCTACTTCCCTGTCCCTCATTTCTGGTACTGTTCTTAATGTGTACCCTTAGCCTTTTCTGTTTTCACACTCTGCCCATGGTCCTTAATCTTTTTTGGACCCTAGCTCTCACAAAATTAACTGAAAGCTGATGGTTCACCAGAAAATGCTTCCATGAATATGCACTCAAACTTGGCACATAATTTCAGAGTAATGGAGGTACCCTGAAGCCATGAAGGCTTCCCAAGGACATCATGGGCTGCACACTGACAACCTCTGCTCACTTACCTCCACCTAAGGCAATATTGATTATTCCCTTCTTGTTTTTGCATTCATCAGAAGGTCTGGGGTGTTACTTTTCATGATCTAACATCCCTACTGAATGGTCAGCAACCTGAAGGCAGAGCCCCTGCTTTATATTGCTGGTGCCTAGCACAGTACATGACATACAACAATGTAACAGACAATCAATAAAACTTAGTTAACTGGCAGTGCTTATGAACTGATACTATCCTGTTTGTTCAACCACAGTATGAATTGGGTGTTAAAAAAATATATCACTGCATGGAAGTTTAGCAGCTACAGAAAGTCCTCAAACAGCACAAGAAGCAGCACCATAAAAGAGCATGTTGAGCTGGATGCACAGAGACCTATAAAGAGAAATGGGCCAATACAAGCATCAGGTGCTCATCCCAAGAAGGGAAGGGGTGTGAGTTGCTCAGTGGAAAGGCCAGGTGACAGCAGAGTCCGTCACCACCCTCCTCTCTTATCCTTTAGCCCAAGGGTGGGTAACTGTGAGGGGATTGGCCTTGTAGACAGATAAGAGGCAGTTTCCCAACAGAGCCTCTGGGAGGCAGGTATGCCTAGGAGTTTGGCTGCCCTTCTGCACAGAAAAGGAGGGGGCTCTTCTCCAAGGAGCTAGGATTCCTGGGGCCCTGCTCATATTCCCACCAGCTGACTGGAGCCCAGGCTCTGACCAGAAAGCAGGGAGGCTGTATCCTATGGGGAAGAGGCTCATTGAATACAGCTGTTGCCAAAAAGCATTTTTATCCTGGGCAGCCACTCACTTGTCCTTCCCTTTTGTCACCCACTCCTCTGCGACCCGGCGACGCTCTGAGACGCTCAGGGACAGGCCTTCTCCCGTTGTGCCATTCACTGTTCCAAATAAAGAGTAAGTCAGTGGGACCAAGGCATACCTCTGCTCCTCCCACCCCGAGTCTGAAAAGTGTAGGGTCAGAAATTTCTGCACTGAGGATGGTCAGGAGGGGAAAATGCCACATTTCCATTTTCACTTCAGACTCCAACTTTTTCCCACCATCACCTTGTCAAAAGCAGTGGGAAGGTTAACTGTGACTCGTAATTATAAATCTGACCTCGTTATCAGGGAAAGACAGCAAATATTTTAAATGAAGACAGAGATGACTGCCGACATTTTAAATCAATCTCCAGACACACCACCCAGTTTTATATCTGGGCTTGAATGGCAGGAAAGTCAACACCATCCAGAACCAGCATGTCAAACAAGTGGGAGTTACTCCTGTGGGTGCTTTTGTATACTGCAGATCTCAGACTATCTCCATTTACAGTTTGACATGATGGTAGTGCTCTAGGACAACTCATTTTTTAAATATTTCATAAATAAACACAAAGAATGTTAATATGTCTTACACCAAGTGCTCTTACATATTCACTTACTTTCACAATGACCCAGCAAAGTAGAAATTATTTTTCTCATTTGTAGATGAAAACATAAGGTCTGAAACAGTAAATAGGTTTGAATCCAGAGCTGTGTGATTCCAAAACTCATCTTTCTTCTTTTCCTTCTACTACAATCATTTCTTTTTTTTTTTTTTTTTTGAGACAGAGTTTCGCTCTTGTTATCCAGGCTAGAGTGCAATGGCGGTGATCTCAGCTCACCGCAATCTCCCCCTCCTGGGTTCAGGCAATTCTGCTGCCTCAGCCTCCTGAGTAGCTGGGATTACAGGCATGCACCACTGTACCCAGCTAATTTTTTGTATTTTTAGTAGAGACAGGGTTTCACCATGTTGACCAGGATGGTCTCGATCTCTTGACCTTGTGATCCACCCGCCTCGGTCTCCCAAAGTGCTGGGATTACAGGCGTGAGCCACCGCGCCCGGCCCTACAATCATTTCTTAATGATCGTAGTCACAGAAAGATGCCTATGGCAGTAGGATGCATTACTGAGGTCTCACGCATATGGTGACACTCTGAATCTCTAAGCACTCAGCACTGGGTTGGAAGAGGGGAGCTTGGGGAGGCTGGGGAGGGAGGTCAGAAAGTATTTTTAACCACTCCTTTGGGGTCTTGACTTCAAGTATGCTCCAGTCATAGGGATGTTCCTGCTTTTTTCCTCATACCCAAGACCTACTGCCCTTTGTGGAGTCAGCATCTGCCTTCCCCACTATGGCTTAGTGCTGTAGGGGGACATTGAGTGGTTTTGTAATCAGGTCTCAGTTTTGACATGTGGTCCAGGACACTTCTTCACACAAGTTTTAATCTGCTGTGATTATTATTACCAGGTACCTCCAGCTCTGGAGGGGCTCTGTTGGTAGAGCAGTAGCTCAGAGGCAAGGTGTAGTGTCCTCAAAATAAAAATGCATCTAAGGGTCTGAGAGCCCAGAACACCACACAAGGGACAGCTCAACCACAGGTAAGTATGTTAAAATGCTCAAGATCCAAATTTTTTAAGCTTTCACTTTCTAGGAAATAAATGGGGATAAGTACTAATCCTGTGATTTCTTTGTGTGCTACATTTAGAGTCTTCCTTTCATTCACAATTTGAAAAGCCAGGTAAAGACAAAATAAAGCCCATTCTTAAGAGAAAGAAGAGGCCGGGCGGGGTTGCTCACTCCTATAATCCCATCACTTTGGGAGGGTGAGGTGGGTGGGTTACCTGAGATCAGGAGTTTGAAACCAGCCTGGTTTTCTTCTTTAGAAAGAATGAAAAAAAAAAAAAAAAAGAAAGAAAGAAAGAAATGAAACCAGCCTGGTCAACATGGCGAAATCCCGTCTCTACTAAAAATACAAAAATTTGCTGGGTGTGGTGGTGTGCGCCTATAGTCTAGCTACTGGGAAGCTGAGACAGGAGAACTGCTTGAACCCGAGAGGTGGAAGTTGCAGTAAGCCAAGATCGTGCCACTGCATTCCAACCTGGGGATGACAGAGCAAGACTCCATCTCAAAAAAGAGGCCAAGGCAGGCAGATCATGAGGTCAGAAGTTTGAGACCAGCCTGACCAACATGGTGAAACCCCCTCTACTAAAAATACAAAAATTAGCTGGGCATGGTGGTGGGCACCTGTAATCCCAGCTACTCGGGAGGTTGAGGCAGGAGAATCACTTGAACTTGGGAGGTGGAGGTTGCAGTGAGTCGAGATTGCACCACTGCAATCTCTCCAGCCTGGGCAACAAGAGCAAACTCCATCTCAAAAAAAAAAAAACAATTCCATCTCAAAAAAAAAAAGGAGAGAAGGTGGTTTAGTTGTTACTTAAGAGGGTTTAGTTGTTATTCTACCACTTCTTGGCTGAATGGCCTGGAGCAACCTAGAGTATATCTGAGTCATATATTTTCATCTCTAAATGGGGATAAAAATAATACCTTAAGTGTTGTCATACCATCAAATGAGGTAATCTCTTGAGGTGCTTTGCAGGTCTAACACTGGTGGGTCTACAAATTCACAAATTTTAGTTAGCTTAGCCAGGCTCCATCATAACTTGTGACAGCATGACTCTGTGACCTCTTGGCTGGTAACCAGGCGAGATATACCTTCTAAAGACTGAGCTGGAGACATGTAGAGACATCACCAAGGTTGACTTACCAAAGATGTTCTTCACTCCCTGCTCTTTCACAAGATAATCCACATACTGACCAATTACTGAAAAGTTGATTTCTCTAGAAGACATGGGAAAAATGGGAAAAAATTGCATATTTAGTCTTTCTCAGATTATTATTCAACAAATCTCATATAAACTGCTCCCTCTTGCTAATATTATTAAAAATCCACTCAATTTGTGAAATTCTTAGCCTTCTCTAAATAATGCCTGGGCTTTTTACCCCCTGAATCTGGTGATTTCTCCACTCAGCCATGTATGCCTCACTTCTATGAGCAAAACACTATTAGTTATCAACAGAATCTTTATATTTACACCTCATCACAAGAAGTGTGTAAAAAGTAGTTATCTAATTATCTTTCTTTTTAGAGCCCATATGGCCATGTATCTTTTGCCTTTTTTGGGGAAGAGTGATGGTCAGGGACATGGTTAAATGAGAACTTAATATTTGCCATTTGATCCCAAGCGCTGGGATTACAAGTATGAGCCATCATGTCTGGCCTGTCCCTTCTTGTGTTTTCCCACCCTACTCTCAGGGTACCTAGGTCTATTTTCATTGCTGGAGGCCATTATCCATGATCAATTATTAGGAAGACATTCAAGAGGATATAAACATTCATTTCTTAGACTTACAAAACAGGAAGATTCAATCTTAGTGAGAAGTTTAACACTTAATATTTGTGACAGCACATGAAATCTTAAACCCATCTGTATTTGCTGGTTTTATATTGAAGAAGGTTAGCAGTTAGAAAGGAACTTCGTCATCACTTTGCCTCTCAAAGGCGGAACAGCACCATCAGCATCTGGGGGGCTTTGTTACACATGAAATATTCCAAGCCCCACACAGTCCTGTTCAGTTCGAATCTGAATTTTAACAAGATCCCCATGTGACCTGCATGTCCTTGGCAATTTGAGGCACATAACTTTGTAAGGATCTGATGCTTAAGGTTAAGGGCTCTTTTCTTAAAATCATATTGATTTCAAAATCTAGAAACTGACTCACAAGCAAATTGTATTAGGCAACCTGTCCTCAATCAAAATGCAGGAGGGGACTGATGGGCAATGAAGAGTGAAATCCAAAGAAAAATAGTGCAGCAAGCCTGGGTTAAATGGTTACACCGTACCCATGGTTACACCGCCAAGAACACAGAGTGCTAGCTGGCTGTCACTACACTTTTGTCTGTGGGGCCAGAGAATCCTACTTTAAGTTTGGCCTTATTAACATTCTTTTCACCTTTACGTACTGTATTCCTTAAACAACAAAAATAAAACCAAAAAACTCTGATGTATCTAGGAAACAAAGACATCAAATGATATTCGTCAAAAGGAGTAAGAACAAAAAGACATATGATAGAAAACAACTGACTCCGAGACTAAAAGGAAAGCTACTAAATGCAAAGAATGCACAGGCAATCATGCCTATAGCAAGTTCAGAGAAAAGACAGCAGGCCTGAGCCCGCCAGTTGGGAAAAGGTGTGTTAATGCAATTATAAAGCTTGTAAGGGGAGCGAACTCCCTAATTATGGCACCTGCCCCCATATCCTAACACTGCTCCCTCCTGGCCTCAGTCTGCACCTGGAACAGCCCAGGTGTTCAGCAAAGGCTGGGCAAAGGAGTGGTGGTGCGGGAAGTGACAATGATGAAATCACCATGAGCTCTGCCTTTACAAGCCACTTAGACCACACATGATATTTTGAAATTTCTCTATTAATTGAGTAAAGAAGATAGTATACATGATTAAAATAACGAAACATAATGAAGGTTATGACTGAGTCAAAAATTAAGTGTGTGGGGGCTCAGAAGAGACTGATAAATGTCAGTTAGGGAGGCTGGAAAGAAGACATCCAAGGGCTGGATCTGGATAAATAGGACAAAACCCTATGATCTTCCAACATTTTTTTTTTAAGACAAAGTCTCACTCTGTCTCCCAGGCTGAAGTGCAGTGGTGTAATCATGGCTCACTGCAGCCCTGACCTCCTGGGCTCAAGTGATTCTCTCGCCTCAGCCTCCAAAGTAGCTGGAACCACAGGTGCAGCTAACTTTAAATTTTTCAGTAGAGATGAAGTCTCACTATGTTGCCAAGACTGGTCTCAAACTCCTGGGGTCAAGCGATCCTCCTGCCTCAGCCTCCCAAAGTGTTGGGATTACAAGTGTGAGCCACCATATCCGACCCCTCCAACATTCTTGAGTGATACTGTTGGGCCCTATTCTAGTTTCATCCTCTTTTTAGGGAGTTGGCTGCACCCTTAGGCAGATCTAGGTCAGTATGTGAAACTGGAAGCTCCTTCTCTTTCCTCCATGAACTTTACAGTTTGTTGGCCTCAGTGGATAGTGCTTCCACCTACAGTCACCTCTCTCCCTCAGGCCTTGCTGGGAGACAGGCTATTCAGCTGACAATTGCACTCAGGGTTAGAGGTCTAATGGGTTATGCCTTCAAGAAAGGAGATAGCAGTTTGCTGCTGCTTATAAAATGCCCTAACCTACAGGAATGATACTAATGGAAGAATTTTGGGGCAAAATTTTGGGGGCAGTGGCCATCACTCAGAAAATGTTCTTGAATTCAAGTCCTTTTGTAACTACCAGGTCTCTTTAGAGAGATCTAGGTTGAAAAGGGACTAACTTTAAATATGTTTCACTGACAATATATTTTTTCCTTAAAGATTATTTGAAAAGCCAGAAAAATCTAACAATGTCAGGGCTGCTGGGTGTGGTGGCTCACGCCTGTAATCCCAGCTCTTTGGGAAGCTGAGGTGCGTGAATCACTTGAGATCAAGAATTCAAGACTAGCCTGGCCAACATGGTGAAATCCTATCTCTATTGAAAATGCAAAAATGAGCTGGGCATATTGGTGGACACCTGTAGCCCCATCCTGTAATAGGGAGGCTGAGGCAGGAGGATTGCTTGAAACCAGGAGGTAGAAGTTGCATGAGCCAAGATGGTACCACAGCTAGAAACTGGAAAGCGTAGCAGCAATCTGCCTGCCTAGGCCTCCCAAAGTGCTGGAATTACAGGTGTGAGCCATCATGCTTGGCCTGTCCCTTCACTTGTTTTCCCACCCTACTCTCTGGGTACCTAGGTCTATTTTCATCATCAGAGGCCATTATCCATGATCAATTACCAGAAGTCACTAGAGAGACTGGAAACAATGAGACTGGATGATTATTCTGCCCACCCACTGGGCATTCAGAGCTCAGTGCTCACAGAAGTGAGTTGAAACAAGTCAATCCACTTGAGTAGGTTGCATTGTACCTTCTCTTTCATGAGCCCCAAGAACACATCTAACAACCTGGCACATCAGGGGAGAGTGATCCAGAACCAAATTCCATGCTTGCTGTAGTCACTTTTATATTTAAAGCCAGTTTAATGTCTTAAATTCAATTACTGGGGATTCAGACTCTTTGCCTTGGGTTTAGATTCATGCCTTGGAGCCATGAATTTTTGTTGTTGTTTTGAGACAGGGTCTTGCTATGTTGTCTAGGCTGGTCTCAAACTCCTGAATTCAAGTAATCCTCCACTTCAGCCTCCCAAGTAGCTGGGACTACAGAAGTGTGCCACTATGCCCCATTAATTTTATTTAACTTTTTTTTAAATTACAAAAGCTATATAGTTTGGTTTAGAAAGTACATACAATAAAAAAAGAAAACCCACTCAGGATATCTCTGGAGATGATTCCTCTTAGTTTGATATTTTTCTATTCACAAATATACATATTATTTTCTTATATAAATATGGCCATATTAGACACAGTTTTATAATATTTTTCACTCAGCATTCTAACATCTTCCCACATTTTTAGATGGTCCATTACTGTACTGGCTAAACAACATTCTATTTTATGGATGAATGTAATTACGTTTTCTAATTGTCTGTTCTTAGACATTTAGTTTGCCCAAACTATGCAAGCAGAAGAAAGTCTTCTGTTCATTTTGCCACAAATTGAGGTCTAGAGTGGGCAGACTGTGAAACTGCAGGGAGACTCTACAACTCATCTCTTAGAGTAAAAGGGTGACAGAATTTTTCTGAAGTGGCTTTTCAGGGAGAAATCCCTGTTATTGTTTGTTTCCTTTCCTGGTGCACAAAACACCATGAAAGACTTCTGCTTTAGCTGAGAAGGTAGAATCCGCAAGGCAGGCAGTTTTCACATCTCACATGATGTGGCATGCGTATTAGGAAATCTGATTTTCCATTTTCTTTTGCCTTTTATACATATCTCTCAGCATTCAATCAGATAGGAGTTATAAGTACTCTCGGCAAAACAGCCACCTGGTTACTTCAAAATTCTTTCAGCAGGGAGGCAGGCAGGGACTAACCTGCCCACCCCGTTGGAGCTGGAAAATGTTCTGTTCTGGGAGTCTGGGTCCCCTCATCTCCTAAACACTGTTAAAAGGACAATCATCTCTGCCAGTCTGACTCCAGCAGGCCAGGCCTTTTCTCACTGGGGTTACAGGATTTGTTTTTACCAGAGGGTGTTGTAAAGATTCCCAGGGTGATGACAAGAACATTTGAGGGAAAAAAACACAACTTTGTTCTTGAAACTTTAGATCTGAAATGGACTTTCTGTTCTAATGACTGTGTGCCTGCCCAAAGAAAAGGTGAGTTCTTAGAACAACTAAAGAGAGCAAGTCTTGGCCGGGTGCGCTGGCTCACACCTGTAATCCCAGCACATTGAGAGGCCGAGACGGGCAGATCACTTGCTGTCAGGAGTCTGAAACCAGCCTGGCCAACATGGTGAAACCCTGTCTCTACTAAAAACACAAAAATTAGCCGGGCGTGGTGTTGCATGCCTGTAATCCCAGCTACTCAGGAGGCTGAGGTAGGAGAATTGCTTGAGCTTGGAAGGGAGAGGTTGCAGTGAGCCAAAATCACACCGCTGCACTCCAGCTTGGGCGACAGAGCGAGACTTCGTCTCAAAAAAAAAAACAACAAGTATTTCATTAGACTTGCTAGCGTATAAAAAGGCAAGGGCTGGATAGGTAGAGAAAGCCTCCCTTTCTAGCTGTGTGGCTTGGGGCACCTGGGCTAGCCTTTAGGATCTGTTTCTTCAACTGCCAGGACAAAGATAACTACGGCTCCCTCACAGAGCTGTTGTCAAGATTAAGTGGGAACATGTAAATGAAAATGCCCACATGATGACTGACATGGCATCAATCAGTGTTCGCTTCCTTATCTCCTTTTTCTTGACTATGAGCACTAGTCATTCCTGTAGTGTATTCACTCATAAAATAACAAAAGCTACCACAACTATGCCACATGCTTAAGATACAAAGATAAATAACTGCTCGGTCCTTGTGTATTGCCTGGCATTCAATACCTATTGAATAGAGCTAAACAGCCCAAAGCCTGCCGGAAGACATAGGCAAGTAACAAAAAGTTATTTAATAATTATTATAAACAAATACTTTCAATGCAAGGCAGAAAGGATGCTTGGAATCACAGGGGAAGAGTATGGACAGGTGCTATAGAAGGGTCATTGAACTCCTTTTAAGATACCTGGGGGAGAATTTCTAAGGATGGTTTTGACAGATGAGTAGAAGTGTTCAAGTGGAGTAAGAAAAAAGAGGATGGTGGTAGAGAAAGGCAAAGGAGACAGAATGAGTGAAGACATGGGAGGCAGAAGAGGTACGGTGACAAAGAGATGAAGGAGGGAAAGGAAACCGTGAAGGGCTTCCTATGCCATCCCAGGAAGTCTGCTCATCTCAGACTTTAATGTGCTAAAGAATCTTCTGGGACGTTGTTAAATGCAGGACTGATCTGTGGTATGATAGGGCCTGAGACTGTACATTTCTGCCAAGTTCTCATGGTGGTAGAACTGGTCCATGGGCCATATGATGGGTAGCAAGGCTTGGACAGAAGAGTCAAAAGAGTCCCAAAGAGGAGAGTGACATGATCAGATTTATTTACTAGGAAGCTCACTGAGCTACAGTGTGGATGATGGACTAGAATTACGGGTACTTTATACATTCTTATTTCATGGTGAGCCCCACAACATCCCCAAGACATAACACCAGAGGACTACAGACTCTTAAGAGTTGGAAAGGGTCATAGAGATAATGTGGTTGAACTTTCTTTGAAGAATATGAAAGAGAGCTCTTAAAAGGTGATAAGATCTCCCCAGGCTGAGAGAGCTAACTGGTGGCAAAGCTTGGGGTCCAGGACCTAGATCATTTCACCAAAATCTACTTACCCCTGCTCTTTCTGGCAGCTGCTCTACTCCAGGACATCAACTTACATGCAGAAAGCTGAATTGTTATTGAGCATTCATTGAAATTAAGAAAAAAAGGGTTCAGGGAAATAGTCCTTGTTCAGCCACTCAGAATTATGGTGGATATGTATACTGTACATGCCAGGTTAGGAGAAGTCCCAGAAGGGCAGGTCATCTGGCAGTATTTCCAGGTATTAGATTCCATGTGCCCCTTCCTTCAGTCTTGGGTCTTGGAAACATGCCAGAAGTGCAGATTCCCTTGTGGGTAAGTAGGTTAATGCTTACATGTTCTTGGTGGGTGTTCCAAAACTGCTTTGTAGCTATAGGAATGTTTGATGGAGCAGGTGGTGGGAGAAAGGGGAACTAACATGGCTCCCATGCCTAATCCGTGCTATACACTGACCTACACTATTTATTTCTTAAGTATCATATACATAATGCATTCTTTTTTTCTTATTTCACACCTCAGGAAAGTAAGGTTACTAGAAGAAAAAAGGAGAATTGATGAGAAAATAGTAAAGTGGAAGCAGCAGAACCACAGGTTTTTGGGAAATGAAAAAGATCTAGAAAAACAGAGTCATTTTAGTTATCTCTAACCATGGGGTCTGGCCTTCCGGGAAAACAGCAGAATAGGGAGGAAGAGCACACTCACATCTCAGTGTGTCCCTGATGAACAAACAACACTGTTTTAAGAAGCCACTTCCAGGATAAGAGGGGTCTTATTAAAAGGTTAAAGTAGCATGGACCAGATGCAGTGTTAGGGGATTACAGGCAGGATCTCACTCTGTAACAGGAAGTAAATCCTGACAATTCATGCAATCACATGTCTTCTGTTTGGTCTGTGAACCAGTGACTGATGCATTGAGAAACAGCTGATGTCAGTCTTTCTTAAAACTTGTGGAAAGGGGAAGTAACAGGAAAAAAAATTATTATTAACCAGCTGAGTAATCTGAATGCCAAATCAGCAAGAATCTTATTTAGACCTAGTAAGGATATGATTTTTCATGGATCTAAGAAGCCAGGAAGTCTTGGACTCATTGGAGAGTCTCTAAGGGACAATTGTGAAATGGCCAACTTTGAAGGAGAATACAAAAAGACATTAGAAATTTCATCTCCTTTAAAGGGGTAAGATGAAGGTTTATAAATTCACCCACAGAAAACTGAAAAGAAAGCCCCTTTTAAAAGGTGTATTACATACATCTTCCTTTTGCCCCGTCTTATGCCATAAAGGCAGTTCAAAATTTTTGACCTAAGTGTATATTGACCCTGTGCTGAGCACTATTGTATGAATTATCTCATTTAATGCTCATTATTATGTAGGTATAATTAATACTATAATATTACACAGAAAGAAAGGAAAAGCTTAAATAAGCCAGTATTCTAACTGTTTTGGTAGCCTGACTCTTCTGACAGGTTAAAAACACAGATCCAGATGAACTCTGTTTTGTCAGGGGCGATGTTCAACGAGAAGTTATACACGGTGCATGGCTCCACAGGACCTTTTTGTTACCTGATTTCTGAGCAGAAGGACTGCCACCGTATTCCTCTGGAGGTCAAAATACTTTCTTGGGTAATGATTACTCAACAATCATCTGTCGTTACTTCCCCACCATTGCCCTGCCTGCCCAACATCTAGTCAATGTTGAAATGAGGCTGTAAACATGAATCAGGAGTCCATTGTGCATACTCTCCCACTTTCCTTAGGGTAGGACATTTTCATCAAGTCTGTGAACAGCCTGAAGTGGAATCATGCTGACGTCTAGAGACAGGATCCTGAGAGGGGCTAGGACAGTGCTTGATATCAAATTATGCTAAAATGGGATTCTCATCCAATGCTACTGGCCCTGTTTAGAAAGGCCAGGGCTGTGGTGAAATCCAAGGAGAATTTGCTGTGGAGCTACAGACACTGGGAGAAAGGCAAGCTGCCATTTCTCACCTTCTCCCTTTCTGCAAGGTGATATAGTGCTTCTCTGACTTTGGGGTCAGAGATACAGTGCCTCGTCAGACTTGGGGGTCAGAGACAGTGCAGAGGGATGACAGAAGCTGCCTTTTGGCAATAGTTCCACAGAGGTGCAGGGTCTTAAGTGACCGTTACTACAAAGAACTTCTGTCCTTTTTGGTTGAATGAGAACCGATCCCCTCACAACCCCAAATGATAGTTACCCATTCTCAGTCATTGGTGTGATGGTTGCAGCCACAAGACCCTGAAGTTTCTTCTTTGGGGAGGCCATTGAGTTGCTGGTAGGCCTGGAAAACATACAATGCAATTTCTCTTTTTCTTCAAGGAATGTCAATGATAAAACTCCCAAAGTCCATTTCTAGTTTAGAACTCTAAATTGTGCTTACAAGTACACAAACACACAGAGCAAGTATAAGATGGTAAAATTTTAGAGCTTAATTCTGCCAAGGAGGAAACTTTAAGACAGGAGAGGGTAGACCTGAGAAAATACTATGTGGACAGGCTCCCGTTTTATCTACACAGATGATAGAAGCCATCTAAGACCGCAAAGGATAAGGGTAAACAGCAGCAGGCCCAGGAAAGAGCTTGAACCTGACTCAGGTAAGTAAAACATACAATGAATTATAGCCATGCCTCAGTATACACAGAGGATCAGTTCCAGGACCCCCACATATATAAAAATCCACGCCTGCTCAAGTCACACAGCCCCAGCCTGGCATATAAGAATTCTGAATCCTGCAAATACTGATTTTCTATCTGCCTTTAGTTGAAAAAAATCCACGTAAATGGACCTGCACACTTCAAACCCATGTAATTCAAGAGTCAACTGTACTATTACTTAAACTGAAATATGGTCACAAAGGGGGACATTTTCTCTTTGCATTGTCTTCATTCTTAAGCTAGAATCTCACCTAAAACAAGCCTGTCTTAAGGTTTCATTATGATTTACATAACTACCTTCAGATTTACCTAACTTTTCACATCCTAATTTTGCCCAGTTCTGTCCAGTTTTCCTAGTTCTAGTTAACCATGTAAACTGCATATTCACCTCCCTCTTCCCCACTAGAGCAGGACCCCAGGACAGGGATGTTTTATTTGCCTTTGCTCTCTGCGGTGAGCCCTCTGCTTGACACCAGGTGTTCAATTCAAAAGAGAAGAACACATGGGTGACTGAACGAAGTGATCAGAACTGTGGCTGGATAATGGCTTCCACAGACAGGGAGTTCACCACTGAAAGAGTTAAACTCACACCACTTATTGGGGGCCAAAGGATCTCCCATCATCTGGCAGATTGTACCTGCCCATAATCAGTGTAAAAGACTCCAGATGGGCCACAAGAAGCAACAGAGCAGACTGGTTAACAGCCTGGGTCCCACAGGCAGAACACCTGGTTCAACTCGCAGCTCTGACATTCGCTGGTTGTAGAAGCATTACTGTTTTTTGAGCATAAGACATAAGCCACAAATGCAATTCAAAGCTCCAAATGTAACGTCTAACGATTGAAAATGAAAATAAAATATAATCAGATAGTATTTGATGACAATTCTACAAAAGATAGTGGCCTTGTAGCAAATAAAGTGATGTTTATCGGTGACCAACAAAGGTTATGCTATAGTTCTGACATTACTGGCACATTCAAAAACTCAATGCCCACTACACTTAAATCTAACCCACATAATGTAGTACTTAGTTATGTAAGTTTGTTTTGTTTGCTCTAATTGTTCATCTTATCTTCCCAAATAGGAGAATAAACTTCAGAAGTATAGAGACCAGATCTTCTATTTTCCTTCCCCAGGAGTCTTGGCTCAGGTAAGCCCTTGAGAAATACTGACTGCTTTCAGTAGAAAGACAACATGATACTTTCCTTGCAAACAGACATGTTCCCAGAAAGGCTTGCTCCTAAAATCAAGAGCAAGTCCTGCATGTAGCTTTGCTCTGTATTTCTTAATCAAACATGAGACTAAAATCAGGCTGGAAGTTTAGAAAGATGAATCTCATAACCTGGACCATGGAAAAACACAAGATAAGAAATCATAAGATGTGGCTCTAATCACTCTTTGGGCCTCATGTGATTACCTTCAGTACAATCAGCAGGCCAGTTAGCTTCTGAGCCTTAAAGGCCAATAACCTAGGCCATCTCCCCCTGGAGGGATGTTTAAGCATCAAAGGAGATTGATGCTATGCCTACTGTACATCTTCACCTAGCACTCCTATAAGCATCTCAACATGCCCAAAGGGAACCTGCCATCTCCTTTATTCCTTACTAGAGGGGTGAGAGGGCCAGCTCTGGAGTCGGGCCTCATGGATCTGCATCCTGGCTCTACCACTTACCAGCTAGGTGACCTTGAGCCCATTAAATAACCTCTTTCTGCTTCGGTTTCCCCTTCGATAAAGGAGGATAATAGTAATTGTTTTTCACATCGTTGTTGAGAGAAGTAAATGAACTAATTCACGTAAAGTGATTAACAACAATGCTGGGCACATATGTGTTCAGTGCCCTCCATGAAGTCTTGCCTGATGTGTACAGGACAGCAGAAAATATTACGCTCTTACCAGCATCATCTTCCCAGTCATCTTTGCTCTGCTGGTGCCTCCTTTCCAACCCTGACTACTCTTGTCTATTTAGGGAGTAGGTCATTCCAATTCTGTTACCTTCTTCCCCTGCAATTCCTCTTTTCCTCTTTACGCCTTTGTAATTTGCCCCTTTGTTACCTCTTATCTAGACCAATAGGCAAAACCTCAGGTCCAAGGGGCCCAAGAAGGTTCAAGTGATAGAGTCCTGAGAACTTGAGTCAGTATTAAACATCTCCTAAATCCAACACTACTAGGCCGTTCAGGCTAAATAAAACGCCACGGGTGTTTTTGTGTTTTTGCCTGCATTTATTTCATACTTAGGACAGTAACACGGATGTTCTTAGAATCATCAGAAGCTCAAACTGGCAATTTTATATGTGCCTTTGATGGAAAGAAATAAAACTAATGATCACAAATGTAGTTTGATTAGTTCAAAAATTCAAAACAAGGGGCCTGTGGGAGTGTAGGATAGTGGTTGGCAATCACTGTCCTAATCCCTATTCTTTCTTCAATTCACACCAGCTGTCAGATTAATCTTCCAGTAACACCAGCATTTCTGGTCTTGTCTTTGTCCTGTTTAGAAAATGCCAGTAGGCTAAAGACCCAACTCCCTGGGTCTGGGTCTCTATTCAAATCTTCCTTCCTGCACTGTACTTGCCCAGCTGAACAAACTGTTTCCTGTTCCTCCTACCTACCACCGTCTGTCTGCTTGCCTTTGTTCCTGTGGTTCTCTCACTTCAATCTCTTCAGTCTGACCAACTTTTAAAACTCGCTTTATCCATTCCAGCAGGTATAGCTTAAAAAAATAAATAAATAAAAACATCTCATTTTAAAAGCCGGGGAATTTCCTGATACCCCAGCCAAAATTTCTTAAACCTCAGAATTCCCCCAAACACTTGCTTTTCATTAAAAACCATACATCGAAGTTATAAGCAGGATGGTTTTTGGCTCCTCTCCTAGACTGTCTGCCATCTGGGGGCAGTGACAGCTTCGAACATTTCTTTGCACAGAGCAGTACACTAAATAAGTAAAAGTTTGCTGCCTTTGCAAACTGTGAAACGCCTACAGGAAGAGATGGGATTAAAAAACAACGACTTTAACAGAGAATGATCAATATTTTTAAGATTCAAGTTTTAGATAAACTTGGAAATGTTATGCTTTGAAGTCTTCAGAGCTAGTATCTAAAGCAAATGTTCTCCAGCCTAAGGCTTAATGTGAATTTAGAATATTATAATTGAAACACTGGGGAGGGGGTATTACGATTGAAATCTTATACCTTCATCCTCAGATAAGAACACTTAATGCAAACAATTAAAGGTGCCTAAATCAAATTCTTTTCAAAATGGCAATTTTTTTTTTTTTTTAAGACAAAATGGGGTTAGAATGTAGCTCTGGACAGAGACTATCTTGAGGAAATACAAATAGGGGTTCTTTAAAAAGCAGAAAACAATCAATTTCTCCTAAATTGAAGGGGGGGGGATGTATCAGATTTAACATTAAGCTCCCTTCTGCTCAATTGCTAACTCTGTTTTGAGGAAAGGGTCTTCGGAGACTCCGCAGCTATGCTGTCTGCAAACAATCCGGGGGAGTGGGTCCCTCTGCCCCTCTCTGTCCCGACACTTTTCGCATTCACACTGTCTCCAGCTCCTTTTCCCAGCGTATCTGGCCCCCTTTCCTCCGTCCTGGTCTCCCCCGCCCCCGAGTCAGGGCCCAGCGTCCCTCCGCCCGAACACCCAGTTCGTCGGGCCGCCTGCGTCCGTCGGGCCGCGCTCACCCAAGTCTCCGCTCGGTCCGTGCCGCCGCTCGGCTTGGCAGCCCCGCAGCACTTTATAGCCGCGGCGGCTAGGCCCGGGCCCACGTGCCGCCACGCCGGGGAGCCTGGGGGTTGTAGTTCTGCGCCGCAGCCGGCGAGGCGCGCCCGGAACCGCCGGCCCCGAAACCCCGAGACGTTTTGCACACCCAGAGTTTTCCCTTTTGTCACCGGAACGACGTGGGCTGAAGTGACTCCAGCGCCGCGCCCCGGCCTCCCGAGGATCCGGAGCATCCACGCCGAGTCCAGACCTCCCCTTGCCTCCTGTGCACGCCGGTCCTTCCCGCGTGCTGGACGCCTCCTTGGCCCACCTCCGTCTGAATTGTCCTTCTCTTGCGTACGGCTCTGCAATCCCCGCTATCTCGTGGTTCTGCGTTGTGAGGTTTAGGCTGCTGTTTCCGAGGCATGCGGAGAACCCCAAGTAGTAGTTTTTAATATATTCACAGAATTGTGCAACCCGTGTCACAGTTTTAGAACATTTTCATCACTCCCTCCAAAAAACCCCTAGCTATTAGTAGTCACTCATTTTTCTATTCCCCCCCCCCGACCCCCAGTCGTAAGCAGCCACTAATCTATAGATTGGCCTTTCTGTACATTTCATATAAATGCAATTATATACTATGTGGCTTGTTTGTTTTTGAGACAGGCTCTCTCTCTGTCACCTAGGCTGGAGTGCAGTGGCATGACCACAGCTCACTGCACCTTTGACCTCCCAGGCTTAAATGGTCCTCCCACCTCAACCTCCTAAGTGGCTGGGACTACAGGAGTGTGCTACTGCACTGGGCCAACTTTTTGTTTAAATTTTGATAAATGAAAACCTTGATAAATATCTCACTATGTTACCCAGGCTGGTCTCGGCCTCCTGAGCCCAAGCGATCTGCCTGCCTTGAGCTCCCAAAGTGTGGGAGTGTGGGATTACAGGCATGAGCCACTTCACCCAGCCATGCTATGTGGTCTTTTGTGTCTGGCTTCTTTCATTTAGCATAACATTTTCAAGTATTTTATTCATTTTTATAGCCATTGTATGGCTATACCACATTTTATTTATCTTCTCCATTGTATGACTATATTACATTTTATTTACCCATCAGTTGATGGACATTTGAATTGTTTCTACTCTTTGGCTGTTATGAATAATACTGCTATTGTAACTGCAGGTTTTAAGCCTCCTAGAATTTTGTGGTGGTCTTTATTTCTGTGGAGTTAGTTTATGGCATCTGACCTCTGTTCAGTTCCTCAGAAGCCCCAAGTCCTTAACTAGATTAGGGCTTTGGCATGTGACCAGGATGCTTTTCCAACCTTTCTCTAAGTGACAGATGCAACCTTCCTAAGAGGGACCTCACTCAGATCCTCCCAATGTAGGTGACAACCCTTCCTTGTAACACCCGGTGCTTTCCCTTCTGATCACAACTTCTTAGTGTGGATGTGGTCTGTCCGTTCTGTTTCATGTGACACATATAATGCCTATACTGCAGAAATGGTTGAAATAGTATGGCATGCGGAATGGATGCTGGTAACAGAGCTGTGTGCTGGCTCTGTTGTCTGAACATAGACTTTACCACTGACGGGGGCAGGGTGACTCCTCCTCCTATGCAGTTTTCACCCTCCATTTGTAAATATTCTCCCTCAATCTCTGCCTCTCTCTCCTTTGTATTAAAATAATGAAAATATGTTGTATGGAAAATATAGAAATGAGACATGGAATATTAACACTCCTGCCTTCTGCTCCATACCGGTTCCTTGGATTTTTAAAATAAACATACATGCAAGAAGAGTATACCTGGTGCTCTTGACTTTTCAATATGTAGCATATACTTTACAATGTGGTTCAAGTTCAGTTTACAAGCATTTTCTCTCTCATGAATAAGGCAACAGTAGGAACCCTCCTGTCCAAGAGGGCTGGTGTGACACAGAGAGTAAGGACTGGACAAAGAAGACTGAATGCCTCTTTGTGACCAAGCAGGATGGATTCCTGGCATAGATTAAGTCTGAGGAACATTGTCTTGTTGCTGAGTTTGTGACTTCCTTGCCCTGAATCATATCTCTAGACCTACGTGGCCAGTGGGTTGCATACACTCTTTTGTCACCACCTAAAAATGGAGAAAACCTTTGAAAATATGGGCCTACCTTGACCATCAGCAAGGAGAACACTGAGAGTTCCATGAGTTGTAAACAGAAGGGAAAGTTGCTGTTACTAGTTTTGCCTATCAGGTCTTCTTTGACAATATTCAAATAATTACAGAGGCAAAATTTCCTTTTGAAGGATGTGCAGCCTGTTTGAGCTATTGCCTACAAGGACATTAGACCTCTGGGAAGCACAAAGTGAGTTATGTTCTGCTTGTGACAGTATTGTTAAAGGTTCCCCCTAATTTTTTTTTTTTTTTTTTTTTAAGCCTACAGCACCCAGCATTCCCAGGCAGTCTCCCACCCACACACTAACCAGGCCTGACCTTGCTTAGCTTTCACTATCAGACAAGATCAGGCCCATTCAGGGTGATATGGCCATAACCACCTGCCTGGATCTTAAAAGATAATAAGCATATTTTCTAAAAACATTCCAAAGTTCAGCGGCTACTCACATTATAAATAAGGTAAAAACCCGCCACTAGGTGACAGTCTATCAGCAGAAATTGCTCCTTTATGACTCTTTTCTAGTCTGAACATTTCTGGGGACATCAGGGAACAACAAAAGTATTAGAAAATAGTTTTCTGCTTTCATTCCCTGTCCTCCTATGCACTTTACACCCTCCATTTTAATTGTTCTCCTTCCATCTCTGCCTCTCTCTCATTTATATTAAAATAATGAAAATATACTGTATAGAAACTTAGAAATGGGACATGGAAAATTAACACTCCTGCCTTCTGCCCCATACTGGTTCTTCGGGTTTTTAAAATAAACACCTGTAAAAAGAGTACACCTGGTGCTCTTGACTTTTCAATATGTAGAATATACTTTAAAAGCTGGTTCAAGCTTAGTTTATAAATATTTTCTCTCTCATGAATAAAACTCTATGTTTCCTTTAGCATTTAAGGTAAAAATGGGACTATTAGGAGAAATAAATTTTAGCTCGTTTATGAAGAACTTCATTTTACGTCTCTTTTGAATGAAGGAAAAACTCCCTGGAAAAAGTTGAGTGTGAAATTTGAAATTTAACTTGCTGCCACCCGGGGCTGGTTTGATTCTAGGTAACTGCTGAATTTAGGTACTAGGAGTTGGGGCACCAGGAAGCTTGGATCCTTCCTGGGCAAATGTGACTGATGTCGAGCCTCCTTTTCCCTTCTGCCTAAGCCTTCAGGATGCTGTTAGCCTGGAGTAGCGCACTCAGAGTCTAGCTTTCAGAATGGTTTCCCCACTCGCCATTGGCCTGGTTCACTGGTGCCTAAGGAAAAGCTCCCAGAGGTTATTCCAGTCTCTCTCGTGACTCCTGTGCTCCAGTTCTCAGCTTTAGGTATTCTGTTATCTCTGTACCTAAATTCTATTATTTCTGAAAGAAAAACATACGATGTATATTCATGCATTTAAAGGTAGACTAAGTAGGCACAAAAAAGTAAAATGTGGAACGCTATTTATTTTGTTTTTCCATTTGTATGAAAAGGAAAAAAGAGGTGTGTGTAGGGATATACTTGTATGTGCGCACATATTTCCAGAAGGATACCAGTGATGTTCAGAATATTTAACAACTGGTTCAGCACGGACACGCAGAGATGGATGCTGGTCTTATGCTCAAGGATCCTGGAGGTCCCCTAACATCTATGCTTTCACCCTGTAATGATGGATCAAGACTCTGGGGGGCAGCACTCCAAGGTCATGCCAGGCAGCTACCAACTGCTTCTCTGGGGAAGGGGGTTGAGGGCAGGAGGGACTTGTTTTTTAATGTGCCCTTTAGTGATGTTTGAAAGGTTGTTTTTGTTTGAATTTTATTTAACTATGTGCACATAGGTGGAAGTTCATTTTGTTTAGTTTAGGAGATAAGTCTTATTTTTAGAATTTGTTGGTAGACATTTCTGTCTAGTTATTTGCCTCCAGGCCATTTTTTTTAGTTTCATGTTGCTGAATCCTCCACTGAGAGCTCTCCTTAAGCTTCTTAAGCCCCTCTGTTTGTGGGGAAGTGAGGGCCAGGCTGAACTCCCTCTCACCACCTCTCAGTTTCCCCCAATCCCAACACTGGTGTCTGAGTCTCCTGTTGTTACTTATCTTGGCCCTCTTGTCTCTCCACCTACCAGACCTCAGTTCCATTATTAACCAGTACAGGCATCACTCTGCTTAATCTTGTGATCAGAACATAAGTGCTTTTTTTTTGGTATTCCCACAATTTTTGTGCATATAGAGACTTAGATTTCCTATACACAGCAGCCCTAACAAGAATAGTTATTATATTAGTGGTAATACTCACATGGCATTGGCTTGAGCCTCCACCTGCCTAATGCAGACACATTGCTGCCTTCCACCTTCCCATTATTACTGGGAGGCACGATATGGTGGTCTCTGCAATGTGCTTCCTCTCTTGCCTGTTCTTCCACTTTGAGCTTCTCGTTGGCCCCACCCCCACACTCCTGCCATGGGGCCACTGGAGGGCAGTGTCTCATCCCAAAGTTGCTTTCTCCCTGTGCCCCAAGGCCATCAACCACACTGATCCTACACTGTGGAGAGAAGCCTCTTCTCTCACTTCCCCTCACATTTTTTCACCTGTTCCCCTAACAGCATGGCATTTGTTCATTGTCTCACTTGAGCCCCTTCCCTCTCTACCTGCAGGTGCTCTCTCTATAGAGGTCAGGCATGAGTCTATGGAGCAAGTACAGGAACCAAAGTTGGTGACAAATACCTTTTCCTTTCTGTCACCCCACACCTGTCCCAAGGCTGTTCTTTCCCACCCTCCTTTCTCCACCCTAAAATACCACGAGACCACCTTCCAGCAGTCCCCTTCTCTTCAGGCTAATCAGCACCTACAGCCACGTCAACTGCTCCCTTAGATTTATCAGACCAAGTGGACTCTTTGTGGTGGGCGCTACTGGGCTCAAGCTGATAGCCTGGCCATGCATATTCTGTTAATGCTTATCTTACCGTGTGGCAGTTGTCTGCGGACATGTCTGCTTCCCCTGTTCAAGGCTGTGGCTTCCTTGAACGTGAGCTCCTAACGGTGTGGTGTTCATTTTTGTATCTCCAGCATGCAGTCCCCTGCCTGTTACACAGCTGACCTTGATAAATATCTTTGAAAGAATAAATGAACACAGCCCAATTAGCATAGATATGCAGAAAGAAACAGTCTATCTTTGCCAAAAGGAAATTTAGGCAACACACGCAGAGGAAGAGGAGCTATTCTTAAAAACCTCTTTCTTACAGAGCAGCCACTCACAGCTTTCTAGACTCCTTGGACCCTCAAGGTTGGAGAAGACCCAGTGTTAGGACAGCACTTTCAGGGAAGGTTTCATTGACCTTGTTTTGAAAAAATAATATGTTGAACAGCCAGGTAACTAGTTACATTTTATTGTGTACCTGCCTGTTGAAAAAACAAGGACAAAAATACAAAAAGATAGAACATGGCAAAACATATTGGTTAGACAGGGGAAGGCAGATGACACACAGGGACAGGACATTTTATTTGTATTATTGCAAATTCAGAGAAATATAATTAACTAACAGCTCGGTTCATCTAAGTGTTTATAGCAGAGGTGAAAGTAACAGATTGAGGCATGGATACGGGACATTTCTTCTCTTATTATTTACTAGAAATAATCTAATGTCATGTGATAGACCATGGTGTGTAAATGACTTCAATCAGGAAAAAAAGATAACTTGTGGAACTCTATCTGACTTTATTCTGTACCCATACTGAGAAGCAGACCCATTAATCACAGCCTAAGCAGAAACTCTTCAAGTAGTGTGTGAGACAAACAGAGGTATTAATTGTATTTATTATGGTAATAACAATACTTAACACTTACTTCAAGCCATGATAGTTGTAGAAATTGGGAAAAATAAGTATACTCCTGCAGGCTTACAGACACTCAGTGGCAATGTGGCAAATAATCATAATCACAATAATTTCAGACATGAGGAAGCAGAAAGAGAGGAGGAGAGGGGCTAAACAATTTGTCGAACATCACAGAGCTGATAAGGAGTCTCTTTCATTCCAAAGCATGACTTCTTTCCTCTACACAGCAGTGCCTCCCCAATTAGAGAATGTTATAGTGTAAAATCATCAGGAAAAACATGATTTCTGGTGATTTTTGAAACAGTATTGTCTGGTCTCTTGTTCTGGTTTCCCTATTCTATGTAACAGTTATGCACCCCATAAGGACGTTTTCATCAGCAATGAGCCGCATATATGGTGATGGTCCTGTAAGATTATAATGGACCTGAAAAATCCCCATTGCCTAGTGACACAGCTGTTGTCACATTGTAGCACAGTCCCGTGGATGTGGTGATGCTGGTGTAAACACACCTACCACACTGCCAGCCTCATGAAAGTATAGCACATACAATTATGTACAGTATGTAATACTTTAAAATGATAACAAACAAGTGTTCCTTATGTGTTCACTATACTTTTTATTGTTATTTTGAAGGGTACTGCTTCTACTTATATTTTTTGCAAGTTAACTGTGAAAGCACCTCAGGCAGGTCCTTTGGGAGGTCCAGAAGACGCACTGTCATCATAGGAGATGACAGCTACATGTGTGTTACTGCCCCTGAAGGCCTTCCAGTGGGGCAAGTTGTAGAAGTGGGAGACAGTGATATTGATGACCGTGATCTGGTGCAGGCCTAGGTTAAGGTGTGTGTTTGTGACTTAGTTTTTTTTTTTTTTTTTTTTTTTTGAGACAGAGTTTCGCTCTTGTTACCCAGGCTGGAGTGCAATGGCGCGATCTCGGCTCACCGCAACCTCCGCCTCCTGGGTTCAGGCAATTCTCCTGCCTCAGCCTCCTGAGTAGCTGGGATTACAGGCACGCGCCACCATGCCCAGCTAATTTTTTGTATTTTTAGTAGAGATGGGGTTTCACCATGTTGACCAGGATGGTCTCGATCTCTTGACCTCGCGATCCACCCGCCTCGGCCTCCCAAAGTGCTGGGATTACAGGCTTGAGCCACCGCGCCCAGCCGTGACTTAGTTTTTAACAAAAATATTTAAAAAGTAAAAAAACGAAAACAAGAAAACCAAAACGCTTATAGAGTAAGGATATAAAGAAAGAAAATATTTTTGTACAACTATATGAACACTTCTGTTCTAAGCGAAGTGTTATTTCAAAAGAGTCAAAAAGATTTTTAAAATTTAAAAGTTTAAAGTAAAGAAGTTATAGTTCGCTAAGTTTATCACTGAAGCAATGTTTTTCTAAAATCAATTAGGTGTAGCCTACTTGTAAAGTGTTGATAAGGTCTACAGCGGTGCACAGTATTGTGGCCTTCACCCCCTCACCCCCTGACTCACCCAGAGCAACCTCCATTCATTGTAAGTGCCCTATGCAAGTGTACTATTTTAAATCTTTTGTATTGCCTTTTTACTATACCTTTTCTATGTTTAGATAAACAAATGCCATTGTGTTATAATCGGCCACAGTATTCAGTACAGTAGCACGCTGTACAGGTTTGTAGCCTAGGAGGGACAGGCTATGTCCCATATAGCCCATGTGTGCAGTAGGCTTCAGTGTCTACATTTGTATAAGCACATTCTATGTGGTCACACAACAATAAAACTGCCTAATGACATGTTTTTCAGAATATACCCTTGTTGTAAGTGATGCATGACTATATACAGAAAAATTTAAGTGGAGAGAACCCAATGCCTTACTAGGCAACAAAGCAGGTTGGACAGATGGACAGTGGCTGGAATGACCATGGTGCCTAAATCTTCCATTACCCAGTACCTTATCGATAAATATTTCCTACTCTACCTTTCAGATAATTTGGCCTACTTAAAGCCCACTGGAAAGTGAGTCAGCAAATCTCCCAGCCCGCTCACCCACCATCAACCCAGAAACTCACCAGCATATATTGAAGGCTTACCTTGTTGTGCCTGGCACAGTGTTTGGTGCCATGTGGAATGGCAAAGCAGGACCAGACAGCGTCCCTGCCACCCTGGTGCTTGTAATCTAGTTGGAGAGATACGATAAAAATAAATGACACAATTACAGAATCTGACAGAATGTAATAAAGTGCTAAATTGTGTGGTACAGACAATTAGAGAACAAGACAGTATATAATAAAGTGCTAATTGTGTGGTACAGACAATAAGTATAATAGGAGTTCAGTGAAGGGATGGATGAGTGTGGGCTGCAGTCTTCAGGGAAGGCTTCTCGTCATGTCAGTGCTGCCGTGTTTATCCAGTGCATGATGGGAAATGGAATATGAAATAGAAGATGGATTAATAGCAGAATAATCGTGCTGAACTGTGGTATCTCTCTCTCCTCAGGCTGGATGAACACAGAAAGAGAAAGAGTCCTTTGAAAGGTAGCATTATCCATTTTAAAAACTCAAATAGAGAGATACCTTGTTTTCCTTTATTATTGTGTTATAGAGAATTTCTACAAGGATTTAAAATCATATTTTAAATTGAATAATGTTTTAAATGTACCAGGAAGCTCACTGTTTAAAGGAGCCATGTTGTAAATCCTTTTCATAGATGAAAAATACTTTTGCATTTCTGATGATCACATAGTTTATACAAAATTCCTCAAAGCTAATAGTAAATAGGTACTCTCATATACTACTGGTGGGATTGATGAACCTTTTACAAAGTAACTTGGCAATGTGTACATAAAGTTTTGGCAAGGTGCATATTGTTTAACCAATCAGTTTCACTTCTGGGAATTTATCCTAAGGATATAATAATCACAGCTGACTGCAAGAATGACTGTACTACAATGATAATTATCACAGAGTTAGGAGAAACTGGGAACAATCTAAATGCCCCCAAAGAGAGGACTGATGAAATAAACACATGTTTATAAAATGGAATGTATAGTCACCAAAGTGGTACTGTAGAAAAGTATGAATTGTTGTGGAAAATGCTCAGAATATGTAGATAAATGAAAAAAGCAAATTTGAAAACTTGTAGAGTATGATTCCATTTTGTTAAAAATGTGTTTTATGCAGAAAAACATGTTTTATTCACAGAAACATATTTGAGTGGTGAGATGCTATGTAATTTCCACTTCTTTATGTTTTTGTGAAATTTCCAAATGTATTAAAATTCTAAAATTCTCTGATTTCATTTGCTTTGAAAATTGGGATCATTATAATTTTGACTGCCATCTTGTGATTTCTTTGAGTGGGGTAGACCTAGAGGGAGTAATCTTAGGAGGTGATTAGAGCCAAAGGTCTTATAGGCCAAGTAAGTTCTGGGATCAGAGACAACCATGAGAATATTATTCCTTTTTATTTTGAATTATAAATGATTTCTATTAGCAGAACGTATACCTTCTTTCCTTAAACTCACATTCGTGTGAGAGCAGTTTGGGAGGGACACACATTCTTTACGGCTTATACAACATGAATTTTTAGCAGCAGAGCCTGCCAGAGTGGTGGAAAGCCCAGGGCATGGATTAATTTTTAAGATGTCTAGAATACTAAAAATAAAAATAAATGTAAAAATAAATGTAGATGTGCTGAAACAGAGTTGCAAAAACTGTAATGATTTTAAGTGTTTATCTTGAACAAATTGATACCTTTAACACAGGGTATATAAGAACAGAAAGTAAAACTTCATTGTGACCTTATGTCAAAAGCTTGAATTTGAGGTCTTTGGTGCATGTGGGGTCAAGGCCAAATTAGACTCTGCCTGGAAACCATGCAGAGGATGAGGAATTATTGAAAAAAATCAGAAAATATTTAGAAAGGATTTTGGAATTTCTGGTCCAGGGGATTTTCCATGTCTAAAGGAAAAACAAAATAGTTTTCTTCTGTTCTAAGAACTTTATTTAGAACTGTTTTGAAAGGGACCTTTCTCTGAAACATTTCAATGCAAAGCCACATTATTTTCTCATCCTGTGACTCTATGTCTTCCATTTCCTAGGTTTCGACTAATTTAAGTTCTTAAAATAGATGCTTCAACCCTTTTTAGTTAATAATTTTCTATTTTAACCTCATCATCTAGCCTTTCATCTTTTACTTGGCCCGGTAAAACGCAGCAAGTCAGAATTTTACTTCCTTCCTGTGCCTAAAAATATAAAGAAAATCCTTGAGTGCCCAGGTTTTTGGGAAGCCCAACCTTAGCCAAAACTGGGTTGGAGAACCTGTCCTGTAGAGAGAATGAGCTGGGCAGCACTCCTGAAGTACAATCCAGAGGACTTTTTCCTGGACATTTCCTTGTCTCCAATTAATTTGGGTGAATTAACCACTCCGTGCTTCGGCTTTTTCCATGGCATAGTACAGTGCTCAACTGGAGGATGAGGGCAGATGTGAAGTAATTAAAAGATTTCTGACAACATGGCAGACTAGCTGACATGGAGAAGCCTTCCTCCCACTATTGCCACACAGAAAATCTAGAGAATATGTGGCAGCAATTTAAAATATACAACCAGGTTTTTTTTGTTTTGTTTTTTTTTTTGAGATGAGGTCTCACTGTGTCACTCAGGCTGGAGTACAGTGGTGCAATCTCAGCTCACTGCAGCATCTGCCTCCTGGGCTCAAGCAATCCTCCCACCTCAGCCTCCCAAATAGCTGAGATCACAGCCACATGCCACCATCCCTGGCTAATTTTTTGTATTTTTTGTAGAGATACGGTTTCACCATGTTGCCCAGGCTGGTCTCAAACTCCTGAACTCAAGTGATCTGCCCATCTGGCTTCCCAAAGTGCTGGAATTACAGACGTTAGCTACCACACCCATCCATTACAACCAATATTGAAAATAGTAAGGGAAATCTGCTAGTTCTCAATGTGAAAAGAACACTCAGAGACAGAGTAATAACTGTGGCTGATGTTGCTGGAATGGCACATAGGTCCCAGAATCTGGGGGCTGGGGTGTTGACGCCCATCTGGAGATAGGATATGGGGCCTCGGGCCAAGTTTAGGCAGGAGTCTATGACTAGAATTATCAGATTTAGCGAATCAAAATGCAAGATGCCCAGTAAAATTTGAATTTAAGATAAACAATAAGTCATTTTTTTAGGGTAAGTATGTCCTACAGGTTGAATGGAACTTAGGGTAAAATAAAAATACTTACGGTAAAAAAAAAAAAAAAGTTGTTTGTCTGGAATTTGAATTGAACTGGGCTTCCTGTATTTTATGTGGTAATCCCAGTTTTGTCAGTAATCTCTGGAGCCTAGGAGAAGGGGTGCCTTATCCACGAGGAAAGGACTGTGGAAAATACTGACAATTGCTGTGAAGAGGAGGAAGGAAGCCTGTAGTTGGTCTGTGGCTGTGGGTGGGAAAAATGTGTTTTGCAGGCATTTACCGTGAGTAGATGTAGGATCTGGGAGAGGTAGAAATCTCATTCTAAGGAATTACCATGAAATCTGATCCTGAAGGATCTAAGGGCAATTGAGTCCTTAGAATTTCACCAGAAACAAAGTGCCATGTTGATTTAGGTACACAGATATACAGTGGGATAGCCAACCCTGCTAGAGATGAGCTCTTAATAGGATATCACCCTGAAGGGAATCCTGAAGATAAAATAAACGGAGAAATCAGCAATCCAAGAACTGGGTTAATTTTAAAACTCTGAATGAAGCTATGAAATAAGTCTTTAGTATGTTTGGGCTGCTATGATGCAATACCATAGACTGGGTAGCTTACAAACAACAGACATTTATTTCTCACAGTTATGAAGGCTGGAAGTCCAAGAGCAAGTGGCTCACAGATTTGGTTTCTGATGAGGGCCCTCTTTATGGTTCATAGAGGACAGTCTTCTTGCTATGTTCTCTCATGGCCAAAAAGGTGAGGGAGTTTGCTGGGCTGTCTTTTATAAAGACATGAATCTATCAAAGGCTCCACCTCCAATACCATTATGTTGGGGATTAGGATTTCAACATATGAATTTTGGAGGGTGGGGGTATAAACATTTGGCCTAATGCAACTGTCTCTTAAATGCCAGAGACGTAAAGGAAGGAATAAAACAGAAGAATATTTTATCATTAAAAAACACCAGGTTTATTTGAAAAAGAACCATATAGAAAATGTAGAGATTAAGAATATATTTGTTGACATTAACAACTCAAAGGGAGTTGTTACATAGCATATTTGACTTCTGAAGAGAGCAAGTGAACTACAAGAAAGAACGCAGGCAGTCACCCAGACTGCAGCATAGAGAAATAATGAGGTAGAGAAATATGATATAAAGAGGAGAAACTGAAGTAAGAAGGAGGTCATGTGTACTCATGTATTCACACACGTATTGTTTTCTCCCACCCAACTGGTGGCTGGAGTCACCTCAAAAGTAGTGCAGGGGAGTCCTCGCAGAGGTGGCCCAAACCATCCTGAGATGGGGCTGGCTGGGATTCCAAAGAAGGAAGCACTCAATGCCGGGGTGACCAGTCCAAAGCCTTTATCAGGGGAACTTGTGTACTGAGTGGGCTGCAGCAATCCTTCCCAGGAACAGTGAGAGGAAAGGGATGTTCTAGTTAGGTGTGTCAACAGCAAGGGGATCAAGATACGGAGTTTATATGAAGGTTTAAGGAATTTGGCTCAGGATCAGGGCCAGTTTCTTCCTAGTAAGCCTAGATACCTTTATTAGTACCTGGGAATGTTCAAGGCCCTGGTTAGGGTTCAAATCTGCTGGGAAAAAATGCAGCTTGCCAGGTCACGTAGCAGTCAAGACACTCTGTGGTTTTTGGTTAGGACCCAGAAATACAAGTGAAGGTGGGGGTTGGGAGTGGGTATCAGGGAGCCTGGACATCTATACTGAGGAAGGCATAAGGAAAGGAGAGAGCAGAGCAAACACGGATACAACTGTTAAGACACAGTAGATGATGTTGTTTTTTTTAAAAGCACAGACCCCAAAATATAGAGGCTTAAAAGCGATAGAAATTTATTTCTTTCCCATGTGATAGTCCAGATGTCAAGGGCTGGTAGAGTGGCTCTTTTATTCTCAATTTGTGGCTTCTATTTTAGGATCCCACATGTCTACTTTAGCTCTGTCCCTCAGGTCTGCATCCCAGGCAGGCGCAGGCGCAGGAGCAGGGGCAGGGGAATTTGCAATGAAGCCAGAAGGGGTATACATGCCCATCTTTTAAAGATACTATCCAGGAAACACACATCATTCAAGAATGAGGCAAAAATAAAGGCATTTTCTGATAAATAATTTCAAAAATAGACCCTGGCTGAAAGAATTATTAAAAAATATACTTCAGTAAGATGGAAATTGAATACAGAGAGTTGTGGGATGCAAGAAACAAGGGTAATCCCTCCTCCGTATAATATTCTTTAACACAAGTGCACTTAATCCCAGCACTTTGGGAGGCCGAGGCGGGTGGATCGCGAGGTCAAGAGATCGAGACCATCCTGGTCAACA